AGAATTGTTCACACTTAACTGCATAAGCAACAAGTAAGAAATTCAAAACGAAAAGTACTGGGCAACAGCTGTGATGTGCTATCATTTCCAGTACATCTTTGTGGTCTTTAACCAGTCACAGGATGTGTCAGGATCTAGAGCAACCACAGTGTGATTGCAATACTTTGAGATACTGTCAAAACATTATAGAGTTCAAAACAACAAGAGTAGAGATTTTAAACCTAAATCATAACTGTCTCGATGAATAAACCAAAATGACAAGAAATATGTAACTGGGAAACAAAAGGAGAGTGGGTTCTTCCTCTAATTTTTCTTTACTTTATTAATATTTTCATGCTAGCCCTGACTGCTGCTGTGCAGGGGGAGCTAGCATTGGCATGGCAGCCAGCTTCTGCTCCACCCAGCTGTCTCTCTGCACATGCTGCCATGGACACCAACTGACAGGAGATCAGGATCACCTGGATCACCCTCTCACTATCCAGGTGGTTCAGGGATATTCAGAGTTGCTAAAACTCTGTTTAGGGCTCCGTTTGTTCCCTAGCTTTGTCTCCTTGCTTTGGATTCCTGATTCCTAAATCTTCCCTTGGCTTACGTTTGTCTCACTTTGTATGACACAGACCGGTCAACTCCCGAACCTTTCTCCACCGCTATGACTTCACATCTGCATGACCATCCCACCTGGTTTGCCCCAGATGCTGCAGGTCAGTGGTGCGCCTGCATCTCTGCCGCCGCCATGTGGCAGCCAGGCAGAGCATCTGGGAAACCTTGCCTTCTACCCCTCCATCCTGCCTGTGGCATTGAACACCTGTCTGCACACAGCACCACACTGCCGCCATTTCCACTGGGCTTCATCTACTTTTCACTCGGCAAGCAGGTTCTCCTATACAACTGCTGATCCACTGCTAATCCAGTGACCAGCAGGATCGTTATAATATATTGAGCCCCTAAATTACCTGGACAGGTGAGGTGTTACCTGCCTCCAGGTGATACTTGGTGTCTATGGCAACTGGCACTGAGAGACAGGTGGGTGGAACAAAAGTGAGCGTATCCTGCAGAGCAGCAGCTAGGGCGAACCTGGCAAACAGCCTGTGTCATTAACTGTTGTTTATATACAAGTTTCATCATTCAGAATGATTTACTCTCCATCTTCACAACAAGGATAATCAGCTCTTGAGAGGCATTTTAATTAAATAACATACTGTTTTTTCTTGATTCTTTATTTTTCGTCAGGTTTTCTTTGGCAACTCTAAATAAGGGTAAAGAAGTCATCACCATGATCACTTACATATAATGGTTTTAAACTTTTATAAAGCAAGTAGACAGTCAGGGCAGCACTGTCACAGACAATATGATGACACATGTGTGCCATTCTGATGGGCTTACTAGGGAAGTCATATTACCAGTCTTCTGCTAACTTACAATAAGTGGTAAAGGAATGGCCTCTGGCTATCTGTGATTGGTGCTGTTCTTTACATGTCAAGGACTGTGTTCCTTCAAGGCACAATCCTTCCCCCACCCCCCACCCCCCACACACACATCACTATCTAAACTATTAGAAATAGGTGGCAGCTCTTGTTTCAAAATTGCTAAAGTTCACAAGATATTTTCCCCCCTCTAGTTCATTTTGATATTATGGCATAGTTTACTCCTGGCCTCAGTTTTAAAATTAAATGACTAAGGAATGCATTAAAGTACATTAATGGTAATAATTCTGGGGGGGAGGGGGGAGGTCAGCTTCTGTTTTTTTCTGTATGTAATAGTCTTAGTAAATATCAAAGTTTTTAGTATCGCCAAATTCATCATGTTTCAACAACCCTTAAAGTTTCTTAACCAAATACCCTTTGATAATTTCTCACCTCAGTAAATCTGTTAATTGACAAGAGGTATATACCGTGAATGTCAGTGAACTCACAGCGGATAATTTGTTCAACAGTCTCATCATGAACTATTCACGTACCCTCTGGACCAACTGTCAGATTGTCATCCTACAAGCTGGACACGATGACTATTTGACTTACCTTTAAAGGCTATTATGAAAAGCGCAGATAAATCCTAACTCTGGATTTAATACCTGCAAATTTAGGAATATAATACCTTCTTATTTAATTCATAGCCTAATAAACTCTTCATTCTGTAATAATAATGCTGTGAAAACAAATTAAAGGGAAAATTAAGAATGGTAACAAATACTAGGACGAAGGTTTTAAATGGTTCTCATCTTATTAGGTCTGGGGAAATAATAGTTTTAAAAGCCACCACCATAATTATTAACTGCAAAAACAGATCCATCAATGCAGAAATGGTGCTACTGCCTGTGAAAAACAACTTGATAGAATGATATCAACAATGATAGAATTAATTATATCTGACTGAATAATATCAAGTGTAGTAATTGAGTATAATGTATTCTTGACAATTAATCTGTCAGGGGGGTCAAGCCTAGAAATGGAGTGTTGTTTCCAGACACCCTTGTGAATGAGAAGCGAAGATCACCTTGAACAGAACTCCCTTCGGGTGTCTCTGTTTGTCCCTGCCTACAGCTGCTCCACACAAGCTGAGTGATGGGATCACTGCCAAACAAACAGAAGGACAGAAATCTCATTACTGGGAGCCCTTGTTCTTTCACTGTTGTTGCACTAGTAGATGTTGTGGTCCATATGAGCATATGAGATGAAACATGATTGTGTAGCTTTGCAATAATAGAAAACCAAACAACTGCCATGTGCTGAACATATTCCAAAGTAAAAGAGGCAGAAGGATCTGGTTACGACAACATGTAGCAATCCTGATGTTAGAATGCAATTATTGAATTATAATCACAATGTAGATTTTATCTTCACCTCAATGAGGAGCAAACGGCTAAATTTAGGGTTTATAATAAAATGTCAGCGGAACGTGCTAGATCTACTACAGTATATTTCCTACTCCATGTGTTTACTCAAGTGACCCAAGTTCGAAGTTCTTTTCTATTAGAGCTGTGCTACAGTAGCTGTGCACAGGTGTCCAGAGCAGACCTTTCAATGCCATTTAATCTAAAAATCATTTATTCTTAAAAAAAAAAGTTACCCATTTCATTTCTCCTTCCCTCCTGGCTGTAAAATGGTTGTTGTACTAAACACTAATTAGTGGCGTGCATGTAATTATACATCTTAGAATTTTATTCCCATCATTTCTATATGTATTCTGTGTATATAAGCAGTAAAATCACATTTTACCATAACAAGAAACTTCAAGCCATGTTTGGATTTTTTTACAGAAAGATTCTGCCTCAACACCTTGTCATATTGTGATGCTCACTATATTAAAGTGACAAAAAGAAAATGTTACAACATCCATCACTACAGTGTATACTTCTCTTTCAGATCCTAACACTGCCTCCCAGGGGCTCGTGGCCCCAGATTCAGACTAATCTTAATTCGTAATGCACAGTATGCGCAACAGCTGAATACATTTGCGGCTTGGACTGTGAACTGAAGCCCCCCAACATCTCTGTCACACTTAGTGTTTCCTGATACAGTTCACAGCAAATCTTTAATACATGTTCCAATGAAAACTTATGTTGCAAATTAATTCATACAATGAGAATAAAATATTTAAATATTTCTGAGATCCAAAAAATAAATTATAGGGACCTTCCAAGAATAGATAAATATTTCAATTAATATTAAGTTTATTTTAACTATTAAGTTTTGTATTTTCTGGTGGACTTCTAAGAAATAGAGGACCAACTTAATACTTTGAGGGGAAAACGTACACCAGTTTTAAAGAACACATTTTCCAGAGAGCACTTAAAGTTCAAGGGGACAGTGAAATACAGTAATTAAAGTTTTTGTATTATAATAAATAATTTTACTGGTTATATCAAATATTATAATTGACAATGATGACCTCTACATATACTATATGGCAATTGTTTTCCTAAAAACATGTATATTCTTATAGTTTTATTGAGCTCTTATTGTACCAGCTTGAAAATAGACTGTCCAGGTTGTGTGTTATACCCTACAGCATTTGTAAGTCCTGCTAGAATATGGTTATAATTTGCAAAGATGCAAAGTTAACATTGCAAGTAGAAGAAGTGCATTACAACAGTGTTTTATGTAACTAAGTACCTGATATTTTTCACTTCAAGAGCCTGCTTTCTTCATTGTTAATAAACAGCTGAGATAAATATGTTCTACATTGCCAATTCACAATGGGTCCACTTATTTAGAAGGTTATGTAAAGTAGGGGCTGGAATTGCATTATCTTAGTCCAAACATCTGAGCATTTGCCAACGTTTTCACAATCTCTTACGTTTCCCAAATCCCCATTAGCACAAGTTTTAGAAATACTTAATGTTATTTCAGGTAAAAAAGTTCACAGTTTAGCCAGTTGTGCACTGTGAATTTGGCCTGACAAAATACCACAAGATTATATAATTTTGCATGCAAAGTGAGTGTAATAAAGGGATTTCAGAACTGTATAATTGCATACACTTTGCTGTCAACTGCTATAATGGATTTTTATTACTGTTGTATACACTGCACTTGGATGCACAGAAAGAAAAGTTGAATTAATAACAAAAAAAATCTTGAAGGACATGGTACCTCTCAGTGTATCTGCTGTCTCTTTCAACGTGCTTTGTTCTGCTGCAACTATACAGTACCCGTGTCAACCAGGATCCTGAATTCTGACATCAACAGTGCTCTGTCCGTATTACCTATTCCACTCACATGAGCAGTGAGTCTGCAATCAATATTTTTTAATAGAGTTCACAGACCTCTTCAGGCTCCTATAAATACCACTTTCTAAATTTGCCTTAAAGAAATTATATTCACCCTGAGAAATATTAACTGAATCTTTGCTGAAAAACAAACACCACACCAAACCCACCCCACTGTAAAAAAAATAAATACACCAATAATTATTTTTTAGATATCCTTTTAAACATACTATTAAATGCCATGTTAAATACACAACAAAGTTTCAATTTCCTTAATTATATTTCTCAATTCCAGATTGTACAATACAAAACAATTCAACTACATCATCACATACAGATCGAGACAGGAGGAACATACAGTAGTTTTCTACAGAGTCAAGAGGAACACCGTTAACTACAGAGACAATGTGGAAATGGAGGACAGCGCAAAGGTTACAACATTAATACACATGGAAAGAACAAAGATGTTTATAGTTTTATGTATAGTTTATTTTTAAGAGCTTGTTAACCAAATTTGTAACCCAGCTGTGTTTTTATTGTCTCAAATCTTCTTGACTATTTTCACAATAAAATAAAAAGTACTTTATTCATCCCCAAGCTGATCAATTTAAGCCTGATGCAAAAAAGTGTGGGGTGACAAAACTTATAACTTATACGTTATAACGTGATATATAAGTGAGGAGACACATTATTTGTAAGTGTCTTTATTATGAATATTGGCACTTCATTTTATGTAAATATTTACAACTCTGAAAGGCCAAATTAATAGAATAAATTGAATAGAAACCATCTTTCCACCAGTTTAAACTAATTAAACTTATTAAATATTTAAATTGTGTATTTTTATCATAAATGATACTATGTTAATGTAATGTTATGTACTTTTTATTCTTTTTGCAATTACTAAACAAAGAACAGGGCTTCAAGTAATACTGAAAGTGCTGCATGATTCTGCCTAAATTAAAGCTGCCGTAAGCCACTTAATTTAGTCATAGTGACAGTTTTGTTTTTGGATAAAAGGATGGAATGGGTTAATCAAATGTTTGCATTTTCTTACATTTTTTCAGGTCATTAAAAATGTGATAAACACACTTCAAAAATACTGAACACTTCAAAAATGTCTTTTAACCCATTTCACCCATTAAACTTTTTTCTCAGTTTCGAGGGACTGCCTGCCAGTTTGGGATCTATAGCTTTATCCCTGAGTTGTTTCGAAAGCTAGTCTTCAAGGTTGAATCTTTGCTTGAAATGCACTACCTGCCTGAAGCACATTACAAATACAGATGTAGATACACATAAATTAATTAGGGTTTGCCACACTAAAAGGGTTTGAATACTTATAAAAGCTATGGGTTTTCCATTTAAGTATACTTCATTTTTAGCTTTTTTTTTGCTTTAAATATATAGGTTGTATATAGAACGAATATTAATTGCTACTTCTAAGTGTCATGACTACAGTGCAGGAAGATCTGAATACTTATGCAAGACACTATGTACTGTATGTGAAGAGTTTCAGTTAAGAGTAATACTACACACATGTAGTGCACTGCAAATTAATAGAAGAATCTCAATTTCAAAATTAAAAAAAATGGAGTCAAGTATTTGGAAAAATGCCTTTCACTTTTTGTCACAAAATGTTACAATACTCTTGTAAACAGCAGTAATGAAAACTTAATTTCTAATGTTTCAGCAATAAACCTTAGTCTTAACAATAATAAACCTTTATAATAAACTAAGCTAAGAACAATTTAAAATGGCAAACAACAGTTAAAACTTTTCTGAAAAAGTTAAAACTAAATTTTAAACCTAAAGTATTGATTACTAAAACATTCTAAATGAAAGCTCATATTAAATTCACATAAAACTACATTCATGCAATTCCCCATGTTAATCTTATAAACTAGAAAAAATACAGCAATAACATGACATCATCAAATACGTAGCATCTGTTAAAATTTAATTTGATTTTTGTAGTTCAGACTGTCAAAACTCACATGGATGAGTTTTCTGCGCTACAGACTAGGCAGGTGGGATGAATCTAGCTAATTAAGCCTCTCCCTGCCCCCTGCCCAAGTACCCACTACCCAGCATCTGCATCTCAACGTAGTCTTGTTTCTATATTGTAATGAACACTCCTGGTTCTGTGCCAGCTGTGTGGAGAATGACAGGCTGGAGAGTTTCATTACAGTGGGGTGTGCTAATCATGAGAAAGAAAGAATGATTTGTGTTATTTATTTTAACTGATTACTGTAAGTCTGTGATTACTGTTGTTTCTTTTAGTTAATCAATAATATTATTTAAGCTTGAAACCAATATGTTAGTAATTTCATTATCATATAAGGGAGGGTTACTTACTGTATGTCTTTTACCATACATCCTATTTACTGCAGTACATTATGCGATGGTACTGGGGTGAACCTGGTTAAATATGCGCTGAACCCTCCAGAATATCAAGACCCTACTCTATACATAAAAGTACTTACCACAGGCACTTTAGAAGATCAATGTTCTAAATTAAAATAATATAGTTGTAATATTTTTAATGTTCCAATGATTAATTAATACATGTAAGGACCACTAAACTAGGTAGTGAGCTGAACTAGTATTAAATAAAAGACAATGAATTTAAAGAAATTAGTAGGCCATATGAAAAATACATTATCCAACTAAAAAACTGTCATGGTCTAGAACAGGAGATAAGAATTTTTAAATAATGACATTTTTGCAGGAAAAATAATCTGCAGATCTACATATTAAAATAAGCAATGACAGCGCACTGTAGTTGCACATTAAAAAAAATGTAGAGTTGTGCCTTTTTTAAAATGTGTTACATCAAGTCATTGTTAAGAGTCCATTGATATTAGTCCTGCCACCAGTGTGAGCACAAACATTTCGTAAAAAAATACATACACTTTATGTTGCCGCTGAGAAATTAAAAATGTAGAATTAAATGAAACATAATACAGTAACCTGAAAATGTATAGCTTTAATGCAACAGCTTTAATGGTACATTTAGCTCACTTTTTAAATAGGCCTGTTATTTCAAGACTTTCTTTTTGTTTTAGATTCTTATTACGATTCAAAGTTGGAGTTCACGGCAAAGGAATTTGGCTTACCGAAGATATTTTTCTAGTTTTACATGCCTGCAATCTGATTTTCATTTTTCTTTCAGAAATATATTAACCACAATGAACTCAGTAACCCCTATACAAACAAGACAGCATGTGGTTTACAGATGAATGTGACTTGCTAGGCTTTCCTTAAATTAAAACAGAACTAATATCTACAATTGCGAACAGTCAATGATGTCAAGATGTCTTTCAAGCTTCAAGCATGTTTACTACCATTAAATACTATAGTAAAGCAACCTGTATCAATAAGGTTGTTATAGCTTAAGAATTTCTTTGTCTTCATAATATGAAAGCCATGATTTACCAAACAAAATCTCTCTTATTAAACTATGAATTAGATATTTGAAGAATGGATGTTAGTTATAAGGAACAATAAATCAGAATCAGTAACTGAAGTCTGATTCAGTTTTACCTTTAATGCAATTGACTGTCTTCAGAACTGAAATGATTTTTAGTGAGAAATATATTTTTTAAATCCCAAGAACATTAATTGAGCCCTCACAAAAATAAACTGATGTACTGTACTGATATATAACTGTGATAGTACCTTAATTACACTGACATTATCCAAATATAAATAATGTTGCTGCTTCTGTTAGAAAAATGCAGATACTGTACTGTTTTAAAATGTTGACAAGGAAGAGTTTTTTTAATACAAAGAAGTTTCAATTTAATAATGAAAATGCAGAAACCTGTACAATCACATCATCTTCAACAACCACTTATCCAATTCAGGATCACATTGGACACAAGGCAGGATACACCCTGCATGGGACACCAGTCCATTGCATAGCACACACACAGAGACATGCACACCCTGACACTGGGGCCACTTTTACAAAAGCCAATTCAGCTGTCAGTATGTCTTTGGAATCTGGGAGGAAACTGCAGTACCCAGAGGAAACCCATGTGAATGTGCAGAAAGCTTTATAAAAAAAATTACTGACAGAGGTTGCTGCCTGTTTGTTGTCCATTTTCCTAGAGGTACTTTAGTACAATGTAGCATTTTTGCTTCTATGATAAATTCTATCAGATTCTCAGAGATCACATTATCCTTTTCCCCACATTTAACAGTTGTCATCCAAGTGTAAATGTATCCTTAGTTTACTCTGTTTTAATAATGGATCAAGTAACATTTTGTAACTTTAGGCCTTCTGTGTTTTAAAGCTCCTTCCTGACATTTTATTTTTGGCAAGAGGATTTATAATTCCCTGAGTAAAGGAAGGATTTTAAGTACAATCTAGACTGCAGACAGAAAGGGCATCTTTATACAAAGGGTGATGGACAGGTAATGTCATGAATTCCCACACTCATACTGGATTTTGTGGTTTAAGTATCAGTGCAGTGAAACCCACATCCTTGCTGTGTTTGCTGAAATATTTACACAACAGTACAAAAAGACCTGGAATCAATTAACCAAGTGTGGCTTACTCGGCAATAACCTAAAGAAGCTTTGTTCTTCATAGCTTTCTTAGCTCTTGCTGTGAGTTTGAGCAATATCTCAAACCGATTGGGTTTCACACCCTTGTGATGTGGTTCACGAAGTATAACTTGGTCTGTGTTGCTTTGCCCCCCTTGTGTGAACACCTCTAAACCTTAACCATCAACACTTACATAAATGTTTAGCAGGGGAAAGGTCATAACAAGGGAATCTGTTATCCAGAAATCAAAGGCTTTATTTAAGATATAGTACCGTGCCTTTTGGACATCCATATGCAAAAAGTGATTTAAACGTCGGGGGCTTTTCTTGCATTCTACAATAGAGATGCATCTACAGTGGCAAATCATCCCTGGAAGAGTTTATATATTGTGATCATACTTCCATACTGCCTTAATTGTTTTGAGCTTTTTAGTTAATAATTATTATTTATCAATTTTAGTTATAATTAATTATTAATTATTAAGATTTATTAATTATAATTATTATTTATAACTATTATAATTATAACGTAAAAATATTCCATCTGAAGTAGTTATGTCACTGACTTAGGAAAGATAGCTGTTTTTGTGGGATAGCATTTGAAGAAAACTGAAGTTGTAGTATGAAATGGTCCCAACAGAATCAACAACTCCTGATTCTACTCAACATCTTTTCTATTTTTTCCATGGAGAATACGTCTACCCCTCAGCTGTTTCTGTTTCATGGATATGGTTCTTAATGCTGCACATAAGAATTAACCCCAACAGTAAAATGTTAGTCATTTCCATAGTGGCACAGGTGACAGTCACATTTATACATTTCTGAATATTTCTACCATTTTCACTACCTATTTATTATTGACTATAGTCATTTGAAAGTTGCAAATGTTAATTTTTGCAAAGGAAATTAATCTGGGTTTGTGGCTCACTAGTATGGAAGAACACAAAAACAAGGTGACTTTCTTTAGCGTCGATATGGGATAACACAAACAAAGGGCTCCTGACAGCTGAATGTTTCACATTCCTGTATTAAAGTGTCAAAAGGTTTCATAGACATTACCTGATACCAAGCAATTCATTGTGCAGCCTGTATCTTATTATAATAAACACTAAGTGGCTAAAGAGAACAGACATTGTAGTTTTTTTTAATTACTCTCCAAAGCTTTTCGGCAATGGGATTGCTTGCCTCTTCACTAATATCGTTTTAATTAAAACCGAGAGCTCTACTGCCCAGGGATTGAACGGCTCTGCTCTTGGCAGTAAGGGTGGAATAATCAATACAAACCATCACTGCAATACTGGGATAAGAAAACGAGAGGAGAAAGAAACTAACTGAATACAGAAAAAAAAAAACTTTGTGACAAAGAATAAAGGGCATGGGGTTTCTCTGGATCATAAAATAAAGACCTATTGAATGCCTGAAGTGTAATCAATGGCGGACCTGCATAGTGCCATCTTTTTTTACAAAAAGGTGAAAGCACCTCTGGCAGTCTCCGAGAGTTTTTTCAAATGGCCAAAGATAAACTTTTAGAGTGAATAATTGCAATATTTTAACAGATGGCGCCTGGAAGTGTAATGTTGCAGTGTTAGCTTCATTATTGCTTCTCTACACAAATTTGTTGACTGCTGAACACAAATTTGAAAATAACCACCCCTAAATTAATTAAACAAAACTTTGACAGTACTCTTGCTACTGTTGTTCATCATTTTAATCAGCAGGATTTCTCAGCTCATAGAAGAAGATGGAAACCTCAGCTCAGCTCCATGTTGAAAATGTAGACGCAGCAGAGTAGAGTAGAAAATGCAGGAAATGTTTTGGAAATACAAGATGAAAAGAAAAACAAAAAATTATCATCAGGCCAAAAGAGCCATAAATAAAATTTTATTCTTTCAGGTCATTCACAAGCCACATTGCGCCCTGGCACAATGCCACAGCACCTAACACTTTCCATTGAACTGTAGTTGTCTGATCAGCAGGGACCCCATCTAGATATAAAGCCATTGATAAATCTTGAGGGTTTTTTCCATTTGAAATAAAAACATGATAATACTGAAACAGATTGGTGGCAGAGCAGCAGCCTCTTTCTTTTCATTTGCACATGGAAAAACCCTTCAACCCGTCTACAGAAAGCTGGAGCAGCATGCACCGGATCACTCAGTCACTGGACTCTGGTTTCAGCTTGTTCAGTCCTGTTGCAGTTGCCTTAAAAACAATAATAATAATAATAATAGTAAAACCTATAGCAGCCAAAAGAAACTGAAAAGCAACCCTTGGTTAAAGGAAGGCGTGGGTTAAAAGAGAGGTCCGTGGATGAGTGTTTTGGGCAGGTGGTGCTGCTCATCTCCCATCAGCAGGTATCCGACTCAGGGAGGACATGACGCGGCTGAATCGCTCACACAGTTCAAGAGTGGAGTAGGAGGGCAGCTTTGGTGGCTCACGGAAGCTCCTGATCTCAGTGGAGCAGTCCAAAAGCTTGGGGAGGAAGTCCGTGAGCTTCTCCTGGAGGCTGGCTGTGAAGGACAGCAAGAAGTGTCAGAAAGCAACAATGTTCCCAAGCACTTCTTCGCAAACTGATGCTGCTGTTGGGCAAGTGCCCCAAGACTGACTTACAAACATAGTGCCACTTTAACAGCTTGACGGAGTACACTTACAATCCCGTGCTTTATTAAAATCACCTCCACTCTCCCACTGCTCCACTCTCCACAGGTATAGTCTCTAAGACATTCCAGTAATTCAATCTATGTTATCCTAACTTTAAAACTTTTCAACAGACAACAATATGCTATAACATTTACAGTATATAGGAGTTTGTTTTCAGTGAGGTGAGGTGGCACATGTTCTTCAAGGGAAATCACACATTTCCACTGGGAAAGTCTATTAATGTTACTGGTAGTTCCCAACATTTTAGCCAGTAAATGTACAATAAAAGTGCAGCTGTAAATGAGGCTTCAATCTGCTTTTCCAAAAGAGTAGCTCAGGATTTTTATGCTGAAAGGACTTACGCTCCATCTCCTGGCCCAGGTAGGAACACCAGCGGTTTCTCATGTCTTCCACAGCCACCATGTCCCTCTCCTCCTGCTCATTCACCAGCAGCAGGGGAATACACGGCACCACCAGCTCATTCATGATGCTCAGGCCGCTGTTCACCTCCTGCTCATCCCCAGACTCAAACAGCACTGCTGCATGTTCATTCAGCTTCTGCAAATCAGGGGGTTTTTCACTCTTCTACAGGACTACCGCAACGTACACGACCCTAAACACACATGCACTCAACCTATGTCATGCACAGAAAACATGCAACTAAACTGCTCTACTACATTTGTTCCTTGCCTCTGGAATTCTGCTCTTGTAATGATGCATTTCATTAAGTAATTGGACCCTGCACCTTGAAAATCCTATTTAACATAACAGAACAAAATGTTATGTTAATTTATGGGCTAATTCAGCCACAGGTCACCAGAACTCTCCTGTGGGGATCTGGTCAAAAAACAGGTCAGTAAAAGTTCCAAACATCATAGGTAAGAACTGAAAAGTGCTTATTAACAAGGCTTTGACACCTTGCTCACATGATACCTATCTCTTGCCTTTCATAAATACTTATTTTACAAGACCTCTGATGTCACTGTTCCACACCTTTCATCAGCAATTAATCTGCAAACTCTACCTCCAATTTTAACCCATGACAATGTGTCCCAGCCTTTCAAAACACTGAACACAGGATCACTCTACACACAGCCCACATCTCCTATCAACAGCACTGTGCCTGTAAAGAGGGACTGGGAAAGAAGCCAGTGTCTGTGCAAATTATGCTCAAAGCTATAGTATGGTTCAATGTATGAATGTTTAAAAAATTTAAAAGCAGTATTTGTTTTAACAGTAATGCATCTAATTTTGCAGCAATAAACTACAGTACTAACAGTTTTTTCAATGCTTGAATAAATATACTACAGTACTCTAGTAATGCACCATGTTATTTAAAAATTTAATTAGAAATTTCTGAAATATCCAGATGCTTTTTCAGCCCCATTGGTGCCACCTTAACAGGTTGGCAACCCATGCCAGGAAATATGGACTGAATAGAAGATATTATTTTTCAATGAGGCACTTCCATGGCACTTATGCTGGACTCACCAGTAGACACTCTCTCCTGTAATGTGCTATCAGCTCCTCATCGTGGCCTCTGTAGGGACCTTTTGATAGTAGCTCTTTATTGTACTGATAGGAGTAGATCAGATACATCAAGGCTTCTACGTAGCTAAAAAGATAAAAATCCAGGCTTTACAAAACAGTGAATGAAATTATACAAGTGACAGTTATTACAGCATTAAAATGCAGATGACCAAGAACCCTTTCAAAATGAGTAGCAAAAGTTTTTATTGCATTTGTATAGTATTTAGTCAACAAACAGCTTGATGAACAGAGCCATGACAGAATCATATAGAGACCTTCATGCAGGTAGTGGCCAATAATTGTTTAGATTTATAAAGTGGACTTCAATTTGCTTTGTATGTTTTTGCTTTATACGTTTGGGTTGTTTGGCACCAGTTATGTGATGTGTCACTGAACTGACTTGTGCAGAGCTCCACTGCGTCATATCACCCCTGCATCTGCCAAAGACACCACACCATCAGTGGTCACATACCTGTCACCTCTCTTTTAGAAAATATTTTTATTTTATATTAATCAATATCCAATAACCAGAACCAATATCATTCTTTAGTTCTGCTGGTTATAATATAAGATTGATGCCTTAGGAAAATAAAGAACAATTTAAAATGTCCTCTACAGCAATTGGTGATAGTGAGCTAAGGAATATTAAAACTCAGCAACTATGGTACAAAAAGATCTAGGAGAAGCTTAAATAGACCTTTAGACCAAAGGAAACTGTCTATATAATTCATGCCCGTGAAAGGGGAATCTAATTCTTAATATTGTAGCCTAGACAGAAGCAAACTTGGAGGATTAGTTTAAAGGGACACAAAGGTGCCTAAGGTGACAGCTATTGATTTAAGACCTGAGTGATTTGATTTTTATTGTATAGAAGGTACGTAACTACACAGTGTTGCCTAGGCCTTGATAAAATTGCCCTTCATTACAGTAGTGTGATAGCATGACAGAGAAGAGTGCTAAACAAAGCCTTCATATTCATCATCTCAGGCTGTTCCTGAAGAGCTCTTTACAGTGGCCTGTTCTCACTATCTGTTGCCTTGCAGTACAGATCAGTAAACCACAGAAATTCCAACGATCCTCCAAAAATCTTTGCTATGCTAACAATTTGTGTGCTCTTTGGGGAAAAAATCAGTAAATTAAAAAAAAAGTTCCTAAAACAATTTCATGAGACAAGATGTACATATGCACTTAAAAGGTATATCCTAGGCTGAAACTCTGGGACAAGTTACAGAAACAAAATGTCTTCAAATTTCCAACACTCCTATATATGGGGGATACAAAAAAATGGCAATTTATTCAATGTCACATTCAGCCTCCCAGAAAGGATGTATTTAGCTCCTGTTTAAATGGTGATGCCAGTTGTTTGTTACAGCCAAACAAACCTTTTGTGCAATGTGACATTACAATCTATGCATATGATACATTTCTTCTGGGTACAAATACTAGTAGCCCATCTAACGATGCACAATTCATTAATAATCTGATTTAAAAAAACAAATCTAATACAGCCACATGCCCTTCATCAGAACCTATATTCAGACAAGTGTCTTTTTATTAATACCTTTTTATAAATATGTGCAGAACTTGAAAGCTGAGTGCATGACATATTTGGATTAAGCTGCTATAACAATAAAACAAAATAAACTCTTTCTGTTAATGTACTGTTAATTCACAATGGAACTTTTGATCAAAATCAGCTTCTAAAGATCATCCAATAAAATTTGTTTACAGAACAATACTTTTCCTCAGGGGCAAGATCTCACAAGATTTCCGTTCCAAAATGTTTGGAGCTCCCAAGAAATGTGTAAGTCTCAAAGCTGATGCTGCCACCTGCAGCTTATTATGGGAATGACAGGCTGAATATACCACCTAGATTTGCTAAACATCATTTGGCCTCCATATTATTAAAAATTTGGAGGACTAAAATGTCAGTCAGCAGCAGCACAATCTATGTACTTCCTGGAACAGAAAATACTAACTATTTTTACTCTATGATTGTCTGAAACCTGTAAAAAAATTGAATATATTCATCACTTAAAATGCACATCAGCGGGCATGCTTACCAACTAGCAAACTTGTAATGTGCCAATTAACACCTGCAAAACTGAATTACTGGAAGGGTGTGTTTCAAATTCAAGGCATGAAGCACAGGGAGAAGTCCTACACAGCAGTAAAGAGTAAAATAACAAAGAAAAAAGTAGTCAAAAGCATAATAAATGAATATTTATTATACTGAATTTGAAATTTGACAGCCCTGGTCAAATAACAAGTGTCCCTAGCATGTAGATGGGGCATCAGGGGGCAGACTCACCACTTCTTCTGAAACAGCTCCAGGCCAATCATGAGATAAATGGTTGTTTCCCGGAAGTTGCGGTAGTCCTGGTGCCACATCTACAAAAGACAAAAAGATGTTCCAATGACTTGAAAACCTGTTGTATATTACACACACTATGGCTTAAGAAGAAATAACAATAATCTGCTCCGCTGATTTCTTTTAAAAACTGGATTCTTTTTAAATAGTTTAAAGCTAAGCTACTAGATTTGAAATGTTCTGTATGTCTGTGAAACAGAGAATAAACAGCATCTCCAGTTTGAAATGAAAATAATGTGCCTTACCTAAACTGCAAATAAAGTACTGCTTATTAAAGCTGTTCTAAAGACAAAAATGCATTCAGAACACTACTGCTGAAGGTTCTTGTAGGTATTTGTGTATCTTATGTTGGTAGTCATACGAATCAATTTACAAACCACATTTAAGAAAATGACCAGTGAAAAATATTGATATTCAAATGATTAAATAGGAGTTTGTTTGTAGAGGAAATAAATAGGTAAGTATTAACTGTGCATTTCCTAAGACTTTATACCGCTGCTCTGTGTAAAGCAATATAACGTCACACAGATTTGAAAAAAGTAATTAGATATAGTATTCACTTTATTTCAATATCTTTTCTCATTTTGTTTAACATAAATAATAAGTACTTGTAAGCATGTAGAACATTTACACCAGGAGAAATAAACCACAACTTAGGGTGCCTATTTTAATTTTAAAAATGCTGACCTCGTATTCTTCCATATTCACTTCATCGGGCTTTATAAGTTCTAGTTTTGCACGTGCAACTCTCATGATGTTCTTACATCTGAAAGAAAAACAAAAACATTAGGGATAAAGCACTGGGAATAATAGAAGCCTGCGGGGAAGGCAGTACCACTTAGCTTACATTTGACCATTTTAATCATACTTCCTTAGCAAGTTCCTTAGAGGGCCTAATTTAGCATCACCTCCCAGATCAATGACAATACCCTGTCCTTAAAATAATGGAATGAAAAATACATGGACATAAATATGGACAAAGTTAAAGAGTGACTTATCTTGGCAAGAGAATATAGAAGAGGCAGTTCTTAATTCATATCAGACTGCCTGTTCTTTCTAAGAATTATATGCTCAGAAAGAAAGATACTGCTAACTGCCAATATTCAACTATACTTTCTTAACTTCACAATTGCGGTGAAAGACTTAAAATGTTCATCTAAGAAAAGTTTTTTTCTACACACACTGGGGCTTTTCAAATGTAGCCCAAAGTATTGAGACATAAGTTATTATTTATTTGTTCTAATAGGTACATTAGCTATAAATAGCTATTGGTAAGCACATGCAAATGAAAGTCTTAAAGAGTTTGAGTTACAGCTGGACATTACTGAGAGACCACATAAGAGTCAAAGTCACCGAATGCTTTTCAGAGCAAAGCCGGGTAAATTCTGACCCACACACTTGGATGAAGTAGAACACAAATCAGTCTTTAATATGAATACTATGTGGAAGGTTAAACAAAAAGTACAAAACATCATATTTCCATGGTACATTCTCTTGTTTTCATTAATTATCCAATGCACTTATTTTATTTGAAAAAATTGAAAAAACTCCTTAAAGCTACAAATATGATACAACACACTTGGAAGCCATCATCTGAAACAAAGTGGAGCTCTCCATTTCAGATCCTCACCAGGTGAGCCTGCACGTGCAGATGGGATTCATCTTAAGCAAACAGTCTGTGTGCAGTTTTCCACTCCACAAACACATCCTAAGAGTCACCCAACGGGTTTTAGCTTTCATTTAACTCATATATCCACTTCTTTTAACAATATGGCAGCTAGCACTGCTCCTTGTTAGCAATCAGCAGAGCACCATTAACACGGGTTTACTGTGAAGTAACATCCAGCAGCATCACAGGCCAAAGAAAACCTTCTAACGGCTAAATTGGTTGAATTTTTTTATATATAAAAAGATATTAAAATGAAAGTTGTTAGTGAGCAATATGAATAAGCCTACACCAACTGAACTTGCAAAAAAGTATTATTCCGGATGACTGTACCTCTCGTCAAAGCCCAGGTTGCGGTCGGCAAACTGTTTGAGGAGGGTCCTCTCCATGATCTTCTTGGGGGCCTGGTTCTGGATGAAGTAGACAATGATGTGTCGCAGCCGATAATCATCCTCCGGTGGCGTGTCCTCCTGTGCAAACCGCAGCAGGCGGGCGTATTCCAATTTGATCGCCTGCGGGGAATAAACTGCCGTCATGTTGAATTTTCCACCACAAAGCAGTCAGAGGTCATTCCCTGCTTCCAGAATGACCCTGTTTTAGGTAAGGGGCTCTGCAATTCTTGTCAGTGAAGATCATCAATAGAGTTTCACTTGAACATACTTTCTGTTTCCAATTACAATTTCTGTTCCTTAGCCAGAGCCCAGGCAGCAGACTTTATTAGGTCTGTTTCTATTTGTCTGGCTTATTACTTAATTAGTATTTAAATGCAGTATTAAATGACCAGTAAATTCACTGAAAGAATTATTCTTCTTTTCTGTGGAATATGCAAAAAAGGCCTTACTATCCAAACCCAAATCATAATTAAAGAAGCAGTTCTTTTGCAACACTGTGGTTTATATCTTTAAACCAAACATTGCAAAGGTATTTACTTTTATTAACAAAAAGCACATTGTAATTGCTGTGACACATGTTACTATTTAAGTGTTGTAATAGAGACTTAAACCTTGAGGGGTTCACAGAGACCTATCACTGGAAACAGTGTACAGATGTAGTGCACATGCTCCATCATCACACAACGCAAGTGCTCTGAAGCTTCTGAGAGTCTGGAGCAGTTCAGCTTCCCACACACACAAGAGCCTGTTTGGGCATGAGGCAAGATGCCTTTGACAAAAAACAACAACGGTTGCTTTGTATCTTCAAAACTGTATGAAGAATCATAAACAACAGGTTCATTTCAATACCTAAAACAAAAATGAAAAAGCAGACACACATGCATGGCTCTATAATCAAAGACAAAGCAAGAGTTTCCCTTGAGGAGATCACATACCCCTTCTCCTCTCACACACCTGAGCCAAGGCGAAGGCCGACCAGTGCAGACATCTGTCCACCTACGTGCATAATGTCACACATGATGCCGTGGATGTGGAGAGCTGCAGCAGTGAAATCCTTCTCCATGACAGCATAGCTATACAGGTTACAAGACTTACACTTGGCCACATGTTTTTTTGCACTCCAAGGTGCTATTTTGATTTACGCCCATTTGAGATGAAATTTCCAATTGTTGATTCCACCTCTTCTTAAATATTGAAATCTCTTGCCCAAATAAAATCTCAACCAACACTTTTTTTTTGGCATATTTGGCAGGGTTGAATGTTTATCTTTTTGTAGCCTGCAATGCTTCCTGAATGCCAACTTCTTTCTCACATACAGTCTGAAGCAATTTATAATCAAAACTGATAATAAAAGTAGTAAAAGCTCTCTAACCCACTTACCCCCGATCCAGCACCAGTATCTTTGGTTGATTTGTGCTTGTCAGGTGAAGGAGACAGCTCGAAAACCCACCCAAAACCATAGGACAGCGAGCCAACAAAGATTAATTGTGCCAGTGGACAAGACATGACATTGTCCAAATCCTACCAGCAGGAACAGGTAATATCACTGCAATGTGATTGTCTACCAGCAGGTCTGCAACTTTCAGGACACACTCGCTGCACAGGTGGCCCTACTCGGTGACACAGGCAGGGTTTTCTAGCAACATGCAGCATGTGATTCCATCGTTATGTGCTTGTTGCTGTACAGCAGAAAATGTAATGTCAGTAACGCAAATAACCTGTAATTAATTTTCTGCCGGGGAAAAGCATTTAGAAGTAATTCGATAACGATAATTATCAGGATATAATTTTCCTCGATATAATTTTAACAAAAGTTCGATAAATATTCGATATATATGTTTATGCTTTGCGCATGATATGCGCATTCGCACAAAAAAAACTGTGCGAGGGCGGGTGCGTGTTGCAGACCGGGCAGCTAACAGATTTGTTTAATGTATCTGCTGTTTGGAAAGTATTTGTTGTGTTCTTAAAATAAAGAGTTGTTTAATTTACCAATTAACTGTCTGGTTTCTTCAACTTTCACTCAGGAGAAAAAAATCGTTCTTTAAACTTGAAAGAAATAATGATTTGACATTTATCGCGATAATTATCAATATCGACTGATACAAAAATTTATCGTGATAATGTTTTTGGCCATATCGCCCATCCGTATTTAGAAGCATGTGATAAGTGACGTCCCAAGAAAATTCTTACATTTTTCAAAATATATGATTTATTTACTTGAATTTTATTTATATATTTGATACTGAGGACCATCAGTTTACCATGAATTGCCATTAAATATCAAGCACAACATTACTGTTTCAACGCTGCCCAGAAAACTGGTTCTTACAAAAATAACAATGTGGGTATCAAAATTATTTGTATATCTTCAGGTTACCGATCCCTACACATGGAAACAGAAATTACTTCAATTGCATTTTAAAGAACTACCTCAAGATTCTAATATTTACGCACTTTTGAACACAAACACATCTCACACATATATCTCTGTGCAGCAATTCAGAAAAACGATCCTTAATTCTCCACTTAATTAAGGCATTAAATAACAACAAAATCAAAACAGCTTGTCTGCATTAAAATCCTATACACACTTGCTTGCTTACACCATGCAACTTCACTTGTGCAGATTGTCTATACTACTTTCGGCAAGTGCCTAGTGCCACAAGACATGTGCCCCAAAATCTGTCAAGGTATGATGAGATAAAATAAAAAGGTAACAAGCAGAACAGACTGCAACATGCTCCTGTGACAGCCTTGGTTCACTTTGCATGCATTTATTTGGTGAGATGACTGACAGAACAAGTTAAAAGATACTAAACCTCAAAGCAGCCAGGCTAATCCTAGTTTTCACACCTGTCTTCATCAGATGTCACAATATATTTGTTTTGTTCTTGAAACCGGGCTTCAGAGATTATTTTAAAAAAACATATAGGAAATTGGAAAAGAAAAGTATATCAACACATGCCAAAACTGAAAACAGAATGCATCTGAATCATGCAGCAAAAGAAAAGCAAAAGTCTGCAAAGGAATGGAAAGAAAATGAAAAAGAATGACATGTACCTTGAAGAATGCAGCTTCAGGGCCACACCTGTCATACACACTCCTGGCTTTGCCAATGGCCATAATGATACCCTGCATGGTTGGAGTGAGCATGGCCTGCCCAGGGAGGGAAGTTTGTTACAATATAACTAGGGTACACTGCTTCTCACACATCAACTGTTTAAATCAGGGGTGGGGGACCTTTTTTTTTTTGCCAAGGGCCATTTGGATATTTATAACATCATTCGCGGGCCATACAAAATTATCAATTAAAAAATTAGCCTGTTATATTTGGTCAAACATTTAATTAACTCACCCCTAATGTGATAGTGAAAGCGGCTTGTTGTGATTCCAAACTGAAGAGCATTGATTTTATCCAGACGCATTTGGCCTCCCAATTCATTGAGTTTAACATGTTTTGAGCTGTAATGACGCTCCACATTGGCTTTTTTCATTACTGCTAATGCATCGCCACAAACTAGGCACACAGGTTTGCCTTTGACTTCAACCACTTAAGTTTTAATAACTATCCAGTGTGTGTCACCAGCGACACGATTATTTTGCTTTGATCGCTGTTCTAATCCTGCATCTTGGATTTGGAACATGTCCAACGTTCGTATCATCGACTCTTGAGGTCTTTTCTGTGTACTGTAATTTCCTTAATCTTCATCTGAGATTCAGTTTTTGCGAGGATTGTTGATCGTGGACGTGTGGATAAAGGTTGGATTGGAGTTATCGACTGTGTCGACAAACAAGTCGACAACATCGTCGTCAATTATCGGAGGCAAGGTCATCAACGTCGCGAGGAATCATCTCATCGCATCTCGTCTCATCATCACCGGATCGCCGTAGTTTCGCCACAGTGTGTTAACCCTTTCGCAACGTGTACGCTCCCAGCCTGCCTGGCACTGACTGTCCTCTGAGTCACCACAATACAGGCAGAAGATACATGCGTGTCTGTCCCGTTATGTACTCGTATGTGTCCTGTCTATCCTGTAATGGACGTTCCTTGCTTGTCCCTCAAAATTTATGTTATTATTATGATTCACTTATTATAAATGTATGTTGCTATGAAAAAATTTCCTAGATTTATTGAATTTTGAGTCCCGCCTGTGGTTGCCTTGGCAGGGCCAGACCAAATGATTTCGCAGGCCTTATACGGCCTGGGGGCCGTACATTCCCCACCCCTGGTTTAAATTAACAGGCTCAAAGGGTACCTCAGAAAGTAGCACTTTATCAAAGCTCTCATGCACACTGAAGTGCAGAGGCATGAGCAAGAAGCAACTTTGATTTGGGCTTGAAGCAGCAAGAGTAATATTCCATCCACTCAACACTTCATTTAGTTTAGAGGAGATCGTCTTGTAATATAAAACACTGAGCAATCTTTAGCAAACTTTCAGGAAAATTGCCTTTTAAATAAATTGAGCACTGGGTTGTACTAATTCTTTTGTGTTGTGATCTACAAGTCTTCTTTGATAATATAATTTAGCTTTTCTGTACTGTAAGCACACGGTGTTTTCCTGCCTCACAGATTCTGCTCACTCCAAAGGATATACAGTGACCTCTGGAGGTGCTTCAGAGAATTCAGAAACTGGCACTCCAAATGTGAAGAATAAATGTGGAAATAATTTTCATATCCAAAAATGCAGTTCAGATGTAAGATGGCTCATGGTTCATTTAAAACAGCACTAGGAAAAAAACTGGCATTCAAGAAGTGTCTTTTGGGTGTAAGGCAATATTACATATTACATATAGGGCGGAGCGGTGGCTCTGTGGCTAAGGATCTCTGTGGCAAGGCCCTTAACCCTAACTACTCCAGGGGCGCCGTACAATGGCAGACCCTGCGCTCTGACCCCAAGCTTCTCTCCCTGTCTCTGTGTCTGTGTCTCCATGGAGAAAAGCTGGGGTATGCGAAAAGATGCATTCCTAATGCAAGAAATTGTATAGGGCTAATAAAGAAACATTATCATTATTACATATGTAGAAAAGCATATGTCTTGTAGTAAACCCTAAGGCAGTGGATTATTTTAATAATATTACAATATATTCACCCAGAGAAACTGACAGAAACTGTCTTAATAGTTGGACATTGTCAAAACTCTAAACTATATGCATACAATTATAGACGCTGTCAGACTTGGTATATTTGTGCTTTGAAGCACAATCTTATTAATCACTTGCAATTCAACACTTACAGTCAGTGAAAAACACCAAAGATAAACGCACAATTACGAAACATCAAGCAGACCTCCCAGCACTTGTTTAGCTGAATGGGAAGGGGCACTGGCTTGCCAATATACAGATGACTCCTTCGACTCGTCATAGCAACACCGGAACTTAAAAACTCCATGTATGGACCTGAGTGTGTGCAATAAAGTAAAGTAAATGATCTCCGTGAGTGCTGCACGAACGAAAATCTTTTTATAAGGCATCAGAAGCATTGAAATCCACCACAAACTACAGCAGCACACACTATGGTACAAGCCATTTGTGATTCCACAAAGGGTTCAGATAGAGTATTATATTTGAAAAAAGCAACTAACTCATGATAGCCATAACTGTTTGCTACACATTCACATGAGCAAAATATTCAGCCAAAAACAGCAATACCGGTGATACCAGTTGTGAAATGAAGGGGGCTCATTAGGAATATTCTCTCTCAGACACAGGCGCGTCTTACTCAAAACAGTACATACTACTTGATAAAGCACAGCATAAAAAAGCATAAAACATCCATTGCAATTAATTAGTTTAATTTAATTAATTTTAATTTAATTAATTAATTAACTTCGTTTTAAACAACTTTAAGGGACACCATCAATGTTTTGTTGAGGATTAAAATAGTTTGCAGACACTACAAACAAGCTCAGGTGCAGAGCTGCTAAGCGGTGCACTCTGGGGATGCAGGTGATCTCATCCTGGATTTCAAATCGGACAGCTGCAAAGTCTGTAGGAAACTAAAAGAACTGCAGAAGGTAACAAGAGTACTATAGCGTTAGCAAACAAAGTGAGAAGCTGTTTTTTTAGCTAGGTTCTTTCAGTTTTCTGCAGACGATAGCTACCTCATCGTCATACCCTCCCTCCTGTGACTCTATGACGAAGGTCCCCACGTGAGGTATGGCCACCTCTACAACACGCTGTGAGGGAAGGGGTGGGGTGGGTGTCTCAATAGCAGGCTGCAAAGAAAGAAAAGGCGTGCACAGAAGAAGCATGAACTAGAGACAGAGCAAGAGAGGCACAAATGGAAAAATATGCCACACCACGGACAGAAAGACAACACTGTGTGCAAACATCTGCCTGTTTTGAGTCCTTCTTAGACCTTCTCACTGAAAACTGACAATGAATCAACTTAAACCACAGAAACTTCATTCTTACACAAACCAGTCCCGAGCTCTTCTATGAAACATTAATTGTGAATGTAGGTTACTGTATACTTAATATTCACTTGCAGCCAAAGTGCTTAATATAACTTCATTGATTCAAAACAATCTGATAAATGATTGGGTTTGTTCACAACAGCTTGTGAATAATTTTAACTGAAGAACATTGTATTACCTTAGACTTAATTACTGTTTCACAGCACTTTTAAGCTCTTTCTAATTAAAGCATCGGGAGAGAAGAACTTTTCTTCATCCTAACATGACCCTGGAACAAACATATTGCTGAAAGTACTGAAGGAAAAAAAAATTCAAGTACACCAACTTCTCTTCACTTCCATAAAAAATACAAGAAAAACTGCTCCTTCAGAATGAAAAAAAATGTTCACGATTGAAGAATTCTTATTCAAGTGTTTCAGGAAGAGATATATTGATGGTCCTTTTTTCCCCCCCACACAACCTTGAAAAGCTGTCTCTTCCATGGCCAGCCGGCAGGTCTTTTCTACACAGCGCAGCACAAGAGCTGAGAGCCAGACAAAAGCTACTGAAACACTTATCTGTGCGCCCTCTCACCCTATGGAGGCTGGCAGAGGCCTCACTGTGTGTGGGGATTCAGTGAAATAAAACACACGCATGGCTCACTTCACACAGAGAGGAGAGCAAGCTGATCTAAAATCAGAGTAAAGCCCTTTTTTGTTTGTTCTGCACCAGAGGCAGCCGCGTGCTCTTACTGCATTCAGGACGGCCTCGGGGCTGCGCTCCTCGTGCTCGGTGGCGGCCTGTGAGATGGCCCTCTCCATGTCCTCCTGCAGGCGCTTGGAGTCGTCAGCGGGAGATGGCTGCTCCATGTACTCTAGGTCCTGGGGTAGGGCTGCAACACAGGTCACCCCGACACTGTCACCACTCACCTGCCCAAGACTCTGTGCTGAAACAGTTTCCAGTTTTTTACAGGTTTTATTTAAATCTATTTTAAGTGCTTTACTTTTTCATAATTACTTTAAAAAATTACACAAATCAATTTTTTTTTTGTATCATTATTTCTATCTCTATCACTTCTGATCTATTGCCTACTTGCTTTGGAAACACACCCATAGAAAACAAAGGTCCTCCCAGTGCCCTGCAGACAGCGCAGACCAGGCCTCAAAGCCACACACCTGTGGTTTCTGGAGGGCTGGGGTCCCGGGACACTGCCTGGGAGGCTGCTGCCGCCAACTTGTCCTGCTGTGCCTTCCTGGCCTGCTGCGTGTCCCACTCCTCCAGCTCCTTCTCAAACAGCTGATTGTCTTCCATCACGTATTCCTTCAGGTCTGGGGGCAGCTTGTCCAGCCCACTCAACATCTGGCCTGTCTCCTTGTCAAACTCCTCTACAAGGTCAAACACATGTCTACTGACCTCTTTTGAAAGTCAGAAGCAAAGAATGTGACACTTAACTTGTTCTAAATTTATGTCCTATGCATACTGAAAAAAAGAAAGCATTAATGCACCAAGAAATAATGTGTATTTCTTGCTGAATCAAAATTCAAAATTCTGATTTAAATTTAGCTAAGATTCTAAATATTACATCACGTACTTAAAATGGGAATGTTATTGTCCTTTCTAACCTGTGAAAAGTAAATTCATTAAGGATCAAACTTCTTTTTTCAAGTTTTAAAACATATCACCCCCTGACAGACTACAAGGAGTTGGCAGATGAACATGAATGATGCACTGTAAATGACCAATACTTCCCAAAAGTGAGCAGAATGAGCAGTCAATAGTAAACTCCTCATAGAACATTAGCACAATACCTTCAATTAGAAACGGCTTCTTATCATTGATGTACATCAGGCAGTAAGCACTGGCATTCCTGTAACCCCCAAATGAATCCCGCATGAGCTCCTCCCAGGATGATTTGGTGACGGAAATGTCGTTGTACTTCATCCACCTCCGGTGGTGAGGGTTGTAGATGTATGCCCAGTAGTGTCCTGCATTAGCCTGGCCCTCATGTACCAGGACTGCGTGCAATCGATAAGGGACCTGTAACATCACAGTGTACTCATATGTGGTCTAACAAGACACTGCAGGGAAGAAAACCTCATTGCTCAAAACTTGAATTACTGAGGGGGATTCTGTTCTTCAAAAATCCAATTAGACAATCAATTTTAACACATAATGGCACCAGATGTGTGATTCATAGTGATCCGGCACAATTTAATGAATGCATATTCCAGCAGCTGGGGAACATAAATGCCAACGTTTCTGCTGAAAGGAAAGTCACGAAAAATAACTAGGCTATCAATACAAACCCTTACACAGTAAGACAAATTAAACAGGGTCCCAACTATAAGGTTTTGATATCTGTAAAACCTAATTCACAACTCACTTGCATCATACTCTTGTCAGAGTACATCAGCTCTATAGTTCGATGTATCCTTGCAATGCTTCCCTGGAGATCTAGAAAACAAAGAAGTTTGAACAACAGAATGGAGACTCAGACAGACTAGTTTAAGATATATTGTAGACCTGTTCTACAAAAACATGAGCATTGAGTTTTCTGCTGTCGAGACCTTGGAGAACAGGAGATAAAAATCTGCCCATTTAGATGTTTTCCTAATGTAGGCAACTTCATTCCAAGCATATTTTAATAAGGAATCCCAAACAGGTCCCCATTTTCCCCAAAACTACAGCTAATGCCAACAGTCACTGCTTATCTAAATCTAAATAACATCTGCTCACTTCTTCAGATTGTGCTATGTTATGAAATACAGGGCTCCTGTCCGGGGCTATGACATGCCTCAGTGCATGCAGTCAGAATTAGTCAGGTGGCAAAGAATCTGGAAGGCATGCTGAGGGCCAGGGGGACAGCTTCCAGGGACAGATGAGATCATACCCCTGGTGTCATTCTCCACCTCGCTCCTCCAGCGATGCAGGCAGCTCTCCAGCACCCGCAGCTCCTCTTCAGTGATATGGCGGGGGGCGGGGTGCATGGGCAGGTCTGGGGGGATGCGGGACTGCGTGAAGGGCTTGTGAATTGGCACCCTGTGCTGAGAGGGGGGAGTCGCAGGTGTTTCAGGGGAACAGGAAGGGCCTTGATCTGCTGTGCTGCAGGTTAAAATGAAAAGAAAAGCTTTTGATGGTTGTGCTTTAAAGGTTTTGCAGTGTGAAACAAGAAAAGAATGAAGAACAGTGAAAGTAATGAATAATATCTTATTAACAGTAGGGAAAAAAAATTCAGGGTCTCAGAAGTAAAAAAGTCTCTGACTCATAGGTTTCAGCCCAAATACTTTCTGTCTGAGACAATTCAGGCAAATATTACACAATGCAGGCAAATATTAACAAAACAGAAGCTTTCAGATGGTGCCAGTAGTCTTACCCTGGGATAGTAAATAGGTTTTCATGACCCTTAGGAAGAATAAGTCTCTTTCTTAAAATGTATGGATGGACGAAAAGAAAGCTTACATGATTTATGAATTCTCCAGCCTGAAACTACAAACACTTGCCTTGGAGCTGGCTGTGGAGCAGTTGTGCCACCAGGAGGCGCTGTTGTGTCAATGTCTTCCACAGGAGAGGTACAGACAGGCTTACTGGAAGCAAACTCCATAGCATACTGAAGGACATCGGCTAAGGGGAATCGCTTAGGACCAGAGCCATAACTCAGATACCTGGAAAGAGAACAAGAGAACACTATAAAAATGGATATTGTAAATCTGGATGATTCATAAGATGATACAAAACTAAAAACACATCATTTAAACAAATCTCTAGTGCCTGATGGTACTGATGTTACCTGATGATACCATTAATAAATTGTGTGAGCCATTAATAAATTCCAGTAGTCAGTCAGGACAGGAGTACTACCCATTGACTTGAAAAGGGCTGGCACAGAGGCCATCCATAAAAATGGCATAATAACAGGTACTCATAGACCAATATGGTCTCACTTGGATTACATGTAAGGTTATATCGAGAAATAATTATTAGATATAAATCAGAAAACATTAGAATGGTCACAAAGGAAAGAATTCCATCAGCCCATATATTCCAATAGATAGTAGCTTACTGATCAAAGGATCTCATCCTACTGCTACTTGAAAGATCCCAGAATATCGGCTTCAATAACATGACTCACAAGTGGGAAGCTTGTTCTATCTAGAAGACCATCTGAATGAGACTGGAGTCCAGGTTATAGTCAACATGGATTTAGAAAAGGAAAGTCTTGCATAACTAACATATTGCATAACTATAACAAACAAGAAGCACTAAAGGGCAGATGATATGACATTACAATTTCAGAAGGCTTTTGATAAAGTTCTACATAAAATCTTAAATCTTAATTTGCAAGCCACAGGAATTCAACGTAATGTATATACCTGGATTAAGAAACAGTTAATGAATAGAGAACACAGAGTACAAAAGAGTAATAAATGCTCAATTTGGGGTGGTGAAAACTAGAAATAATAATAATAATAATAATAATAATAGCTTACACTTATAGAGCGATTTTCTGGACACTTCACTCAAAGCACTTTACAGGTAATGGAGACTCTCCTCCACCCCCACCAGTGTGCAGCCCCACCTAGATGATGCGACGGCAGCCATAGTGCGCCAGAACGCTCCCCACACACCAGCTATCGGTGGTGAGGAGAACAGAGTAATGAAGCCAATTCATTAATGGAGATTATGAGGGGGCCATGATTAATAAGGGCCAGTGGGAAATTTGGCCAGGATGTTGGGGTTATACCCCTACTCTTTTCGAGAAACGCTCTGGGATTTTTAATGCCCACAAAGAGTCAGTACCTCGGTTTTACGCCTTATCCAAAGGATGGCACCTTTTTACAGTACAGTGTCCCCGTCACTACAGTGGGGTATTAGGACCCACATGGACCACAGGGTGAGCGCCCCCTGCTGACCCCACTAACCCCACTTCCAGCAGCAACCTTAGTTTTTCCCAAGAGGTCTCCCATCCAGGTACTGACCAGGTTCACACCTGCTTAGCTTCAGTGGGCTACCAGTTGTGAGTTGCAGAGTAATATGGCTGCTGTAGAGCACCACAAAGATATGAATTAGGACCAGTACACCACTATTTTTTCTCATTAAGATCAATGATTTACATGATTTACAAAGTAAAAAAGTAAACTAATAAAGGTTGCAATACTTACAGAGTGGGACAATTATATACTGTAAATATAGGATGAGAAACACCAAGCTTGTTATGAAAAGGACATTTACATTTAAATATTTACATTATCAAGACAATTAAAAATGTTGGTGTTATGTTCTGAAATTATACAATACACTAGTAAGTCCTCATTAAGGTCTTAATATTGTCTCCAATTTTGGACACAAAACATCACACAAAAAAGATATTTCTGCTTTTGAAGCAGTTCAGAAAAGTAGAACCAGATGTATGTCTGAATTTAAAGGAATATCCCACATTGATAGACTAAAAGAATTTGTCTTGAACTTCAAGTGTTTAGAGTATTATTCAACTATTTAAAGTCCTCAAGAGCACTGACAATATCAACGCAGTGAACTTCACAGTCAACAGCAGACCATGGCTCAGAGGGCCCAAGTCGAAGCCATAGAGAAGTGTATCTGAAACTGAGAACAGGCAGCACTGTTTTTGGTTCAGGGAGTCTGGAACAAGCTACCCAGCCATGCTACTGACACAGATACCCTGGTGTCCTTCAAGAAATGGCTGGAGGGATCCTTAGATCAATTCACTACCAACTACTAACTAGCAGAAAAGCTACTATAGATACGCTGAATGGCCAATTGTCATATATAAGTTTTCTTCTTAGTCTTTTCTGATGTTATTTAGACAATGCCCATGGTAAAAAACTGGTATTTAAAATGTAAAGAATACAGACAAGAGAAACAGGGCTGTTAGAGTCTAAACTAGCTGTTTTACAGAAAGCACAGGTTCAGGTCAAACAGGCTTTAACTTTTCCTTGCAACAGAATCACTGGACAAAGAGCTGGAGTGACAGAAACTTAAAGTCTAAAAACTTGTTAAAATTTGATTTTCAATTTAACTATTTTATTCTTCAACTAATCTTTTTTTTACCAAATCAAACGTATATACCTCTCCAAACGCTGCTGCAATACTGTCAGATGTTCCTTCAGCCGTCTGATTTCTTCACGTTTGATTCTGGTAACTTCTCTGTTCTTATCCATATACCTAACAGTCCAAAAATTCATAGAATTTAACAGTCCCAGAAAACCTCTTTATTCTGCATGTATGAGAACTAACACACTCTGATTTTCACAATTCATGCATTTTATAATATTGTTTCTAGATCTACTGCATTAAGGAAAATCTATTGCAGTATAAAATGATAAAAGTACAAAGCATGATTTAGTGTCACTTTAAAGCAGAGTTTCACATATTAGTCAGCAGCTACATGTCTGATGAAGGCAGGTAAGAGGAATGGAGTAGAATGTAGTGCTCAAGATATTCTGCATGCATCCTTGTTTTTTTAAATCAAGAAAGCAGTTGGAAAACCCTTACGTCAATGCAATTAAATTTATAATGACCTACCTATCCATATAAAGCATTGCAGGAAATTCAAGTTTGTGGTGTATCTTCTCTGGCCTTCCTAAGGCTTGATTGAACTCAAACCTGGAGAGTTCAAACGTCAGAACAGGTGGAAGTTCAGTAAACCAGTGCTACAAGGGAAAAAACAAACATGCTTCAAAATCAGAGGACCATATCCACACACCAAATTAAGATGATGTAGAAACATTTGATGAAGAAGATGCTCAAATCACAATATAAAAATGTTATTACCTAAATTCTCAGATGATATACTGGTGTTTAGCCCTTTTCCTTGTTTGAAACTTGGAACAGATTTGTTTTTACCTGCCAAATGCTGTAAATTAGTCAATTTTATAGCCGAAACAGCTGCTAATGCTCCACAACTACCAAGTACATGACGTAAGTGCAGGATGAATCCTAGAACCTGCAGGTTGCTGATTCACATCCAGACTGTGTTGGGAATGGCCAGCAACAGCACAGAGTCAAATGCCTTGGCCAGGGCTGCAAGACGCTGAGAGGGAGGGGGCTCCTTTGCTAAAGAACCAGCAGACTCTGTGCAGATGGGCCTATACTTGCGATACCATAGCAGGACGAGCCATTCCATCCTGCAGCAGGCCAGTATCACTGTGCTTAAGACAGTAGACAGCTTTAAGGAAACAATCTTCAGCTCTCTGGCTGGTGTGGGGATAACAGTTGACCGAATAACAGTTATGTAGATTCTATATATGAAGTGTATAACCAGAAAAATAATTAAGATACGATTCCTGCCCCTCAATATGGTGGACTAAGAAAGCACTTTAGGGCACAGAAAACAAGTGTTTGATAATACAAACAGGCAGCATACATGCCAGCAAGGCAGTTTTATCGATTGAAGCACGAACTGATATCCACTAGCATGTGAGCAAAATAGCAAAACAATGAAAAATACTTCATCACACTTCTGTCTGCTAAAAACAAAAGAAAAAACACTGCTTTAAAATTCTTATTTTAACTTTTCGTCTAATAGTCCAGTTTAAAACACAAAAAAATGGAAGGAAACTAGCATCACAAGGCGCTGCAACACTGACCTCCTGGCCGGACTTTGCCGAGTTCTCCGAATGCAGAGACTCTATCTCCCCCTCAATCATGGCCGCCTCCAGGCACTCGTGTAGATCCTTAAAGCCATTGACCTGCAGAGGGTACTGGCCAAACATCTCTGTGTTCTCAAACTTCTTCCCTGGCAGCAAACACACACATCTCAGCAGAGTCCACAGAAGTGAGCAGGCCCTTTCTTTTTTCTCAATGCAAATGTTTTGTGGCCACAAAAACAAATTTGTTGTAGCATTATAGTCAATAGTTTTCTACAAACTGTTGTTTATATAGCTGGGATCCTTACTGAAGCAACCTGAGTGAAGTACCTGGCAGCAACGGCTCTCTCAAATCTTGCTGGTTTTGAATTTCATTTCTACATTTTATCTACAGATGTACTTCAGCTTGAGCAGGAACTGTATCTTCATAACTCAGCTGGCTTGTATACAACACAAGCCGAATGACTCAATTTTTGAAGCACTTTTAAAATCCCTTCCGTTCAAGTTTCGGTCGATAACATATTTTTTCTAGCACATAAAAAAAGTAAAACTTCCAAGTTGCCAGTATAAACACCATAGGTTTTGTTTGAATATATCCGAGATACAATTTTATATTTGTGTCCCCCGTGTAGAAATCTGATGTGCGATGCAGTTAATGGAAGGAAGGGCCATGAGGATGAGCTTAAAAAAATGTTCCTCACTGGGTCAGATGTGAAATGGAATGGTGTCTTAATTAAGTCATATAAAGTGTAATTAAGTGTTCCAGAGTACAAGGCCAGAACAACAGAGAAGTCCTGGGTCAAGGAAATGATTCGGATATCACCAAGCAGGAAAAGCACGTAAGGGCCAGGCTGCGGAAGGAGAAGAATGGGGAGGGACTGAACAGCAGTTCTTCCGAGAGGATGGTACTGTATGTCCAGTGAAGGATGGGGAATCGGGGCTGAAGCCAACCGCACCATCCACACTGAGGTCAGGACAGGGCTTTAACACTTAGAAGACTAACACCTAGACCAGCGATGACCTTGGAACCACTCTGCCTTTATTCTGCCATTTTGTTTTCCATAGCTTGATGGGCAATAATCACAGTGCAATCAATAAGACGCTGAGGCTTCAGGACTCAATTTGTGCCTAAGACACTGGGAGATTATCAGCTGTTAACAACATGAGTTTTGTACTTTATTTATATTTCCATTACCTTCATGGACACCCACTGCCAGAAAACGACCATAAAAAAGCTCCACCATTGGATTCTTTGTCTTCTCTCCTTCTCTTTAATTAAAAAAAAGTCAATGAATCAATTAAAAGAATACTAAAGTACATAATAGAGGTGTTACATAATATATGGAGTATGATCACAAAAATCAGAACCTTATATTAATATGGACGTGGTGTGTTATATATTGTAATCAGAAAAATATTTTCCCACCTAGTTTTGACCAAGTGAAAGATGCCTTTAAAATTATCTCAGATTGACCAGAATTCACTCCCAAGAACAATGAAAAGCCTGGTTGTGTTCTTGGCTGGGGCACATGGGCACACAGGAGAGCTAAACGTCAAATCAATGACAAAATCTCCCTTCCTAGGACAGGCTAGTAAAGAACACTAAGCAATATGCCCAAGAGGTTAAATTACTCTTGTTGCATTTAGTTTAGTTTTAAAACTCTGATCAACAATTCTGCATTAAAAGCTTCCAACTGAACAAACAGATGACTATTATGAAGACTGTGCAGTCAAAATGTGTTAATGAGTGACATCTGCACAGACAGGTACACCAAACACTAACTGCATCTTACCTTGTTCTGCTTTCCCCACACAGGCAAGGAAAAGGACCATTTTAACCACAAGGTTTAGAGAGAACAAAGTTTGTATCAGCAAACTGCACACCCAAGAAATAATCAGGTACTGAACTACCTCACTATAATAATCATAATACAATTATTTAAATCATTAATTGAAAATGAAATATAAAACTATGCAATGTCAAATATAAATCTATAGTAACTTCATTGCAGAACTTTTGTATATTCCCTATAATCCATTAGTATAAAGTTATAGTTACACATGTATTTAATTAATACTTTATTCTACATGTGGCTCTCATTTATTTGATATGTAATTATAAAACAACCAACTTTTGTAGTGGTCTTGTACTATGCCAAGAATCATAAGCAGATCCGTCTGACTACAAATATTGTATAATATAGACTGTCCTGACTATGCTACTTTGCACTTGCTTACGTCTGTAGCTTCATTACTGCACTGCACTCATACGTCCACAGATACCAGTATGTAAAACAGAATAATAAGCCAAACTCCTTGGCCCTTTCTTGTTTACCTCTCTTCCTCAGCTTTTATCTGGAAAGCGTCCTCCAACCAGTCCAGCAGTTTGTGTGTGAACTCACTCACATCTTGCTGTTAAAAACAAAAACAGCAAATTATGGTTTTTATAGCCTTCAGCCATTTACTTTCTCAAAACCACTGATGTTGGGCTTGTGCAAAGCGAAACTCCACCCCTTCTTATTTCAGTCTAATCTGACTAATAAAGCTGGTTCATTAACCTAAAGATCACAAATAAACTTGATATACTTGCTGTCATGATCCTTTATTTGGTGGAAAAACAGCAAATGGGACCATCACATTTAAGTCTAAATAATTAAAAGAACTGCCAGAACTGTTTTTAGGAGAACGGGTAAACACTACCATTCCCTACATTTTGGTGTTAATAAAATGGTTGTGAAGTGGTCAGAATAGAAGATTTCTTTTTCTTGCAGCATCAGAATTACTAGCACCACAGAGCCCTGACAGTGGATTTAAATAGCAGCCCTGGGGTGATGCATATTCAAGGATGCAGTCAAGTGCACTTGGTGTGTGCTCACTAGCAGGCACTTGACAGAAAATGAAAGCCTGTGTCAGCAAATCTTACAAAGATGTGCTCTGCAATGCCAGAATCCTAGATGAGAGAAACAACAAACCTAAAAAAACAAAAGAACCATGCAGGGGAGAAAAGCCAGGAGCAGGAGTAAACAAGGCTGGCATTGGAGGACAGTTGTGCAATGATTTCTTGTTATGAGAAAATTAAATTGTCATTTGTTATAAAACTCACATAGCACCCATGTGTTAAACAAATAGGAAAGGCATAAGGTCTACACAAACATGCACTGAATATCACAGGGAAATTTATATAGAATACCACTACAAATTACTTAAATATAACTATAAACAATAAAAAGAATATGTACTGTGAACCTTGCTTTAGGATAATACAAATTCAGTATAATCACTGTACAAACACAGTACCAATGTCAAAATGTATTTGTACAAAGCCAGATGCAATACATGAAACTAGAGGCAAAATTAGACTAAGGTGATGAGAGAAAGTGCCCAATACTGTGGTTACATAAAATTGTTAGTGCATTTCTGCTGAGTCAATGAAAGTCATGACATTGGGTTATATAAACCCAAGGGTGTGATCTGCGGAGGCTATGGATTCTTTTAGAAATACAGGAGGAGCTTACCTGTTGTGAATCCGTGGACTTGAAGGCATCTTTCAGGATTTCCACAGCCCGAGAAGGATCAACATATTTCCTTTTGGATCCCACCATGAGTGAGAAGAGATGTCTCAGTTCACGCATGAATGGCAAATTCCTGCGCTCCTAGATATATGAAAAATATGGGAAATGTTAAAGAGCAAATGAAGAATACATTAACAATTGAGCTAATCCAAAGTATACTTCATCTAACAACAACAGCTCATTCACTAAACTTTCCATTGTACAAGGTTAAAATGAAAAAAGCATAAATTCAGGATTTACTCATTAACAATTTAAGCAGGTGGAAGGATATGGTGTAAATTATTTAAAAAGCGTGAATGCTGTTTAATGTGGATGCTCATAGCTTCGAGGTGTGGCATGGTTTAGCTTTCTGTATCAGGAGAACACGCGACAGAAAGTGGCTTTGTTATTAAAAAAGTTAAAAACAGTTTCAGCTTCTCGTTTGTAAAGAACGCTTTATTAGGAAGTAAAAGTACATCCTCAACCCTCACATACTTAAGATGTTGGAATATAGAAAAGCGCTATATAAGTGTAAGCAATTATTATTATTATTAATTTTACCTGTACGGTTATGTCATTGTGTACAGCTGCTCAGCCTGAAAATCTGGAGTCTTGTCATTGTTAACAGTACAAGGCCATAAAAGCCCTAAACTTCTGAAGGAGAAAATACATTATTTTCAAATCAGCTACTCTCCACATATTGACCTAATAAATGACCAAACAAATAAATTACCACAGTATGACAAATTGTGGAGATTGATCAGGAGCCTTGGAACAAGAGCATTTAATGATACAGCACTTTGAAAAGAATGATGCAAAACGGCTTCATCATCACCAGAAGCAGACTGTCAGTCGTTAGTGCCTAGCAGCCAAGCACCTGAAGACAAATAAGCACCTTTGTAAAGGGCAAGAGACCGCAGCCACTGATCCAAATGTTTTTTTTTTCATTGCTGCTCTGAAGAGTTCCAGGGGCTTTCAAGGTGAGAAGCCAGACAGTCCAAAATATGTAGCCTGTCAGGTTGCTGATTTGATGAAGCTGTTTGTAACACTTGACTGGGTTACCTGAATGAAGCCTATGAGCAAGGAGGCAGAACTCTACTCACCTTCTGATTGCGAGGCAAGTCCTGAGCACAGGCAGGGGGAGAGTAATGTAGAACAAGCCTCTGAAACTCCAGGAGGTTGAACAGAGACTGAAATGGACAAGGACATGTAGGTTAAGAAACTCCAAAAAAACTTAACATGCTGAACATTCTTCATTTTTACAAGAAAGGAACCTATTCACATTGGCAGAGTGTTACAGTTAAACAGCTTCTATTTTTTTCCAAGACCTGCATTACACAACTCCTCTGAAGGTTCTCGCCCTGAAGGATTTTGGTCATGTAGCCATAGTATAAATATTTACATGATGAAGGAAAACGTCTGTAATTCTGTCAAACATATCTTTACTGTACATTCTTTATACAATGCTATAAGAACTTGTAGAAATTAACAACACAAAAAATACCACCATAATATAAAATATATCCCTTAAATTCAAATGGAATAGACAGGCCAAAACATGGCATATATTCTGAAGTATATTTAAAAGTCATAAGTGCCCTTGTAGTGCATAATGCTTATATTAAAATTGGGATTTATGTGTTTACTTCTAATTCAATTTAAAAAATTGCTGAACCTGAGGGATATATTCAATGTCTCCTAAAGGTACAAATGATAGAGCTACCAGTCTGTAAATGTGCACTGTGTCCTTAAAGAATTGAATTACACACTGTGTGCAAACAGCATGTGACTGCGTATCTTGGATTTCTGCAGTCCTTGGACACATATCAGGTATGTTGTTTGTTTTCTTATAGTACACGATTAGTTTCTGCATCCACTACGAAGGCAGGAGCAGATTCAAGAGGAGACTCCCCAGTGCTGGAGACCTTAAGAGTTTTTCAATCCTAAGAAATGATCCAGCACACCCAGGCACAAAAAAACCTTTATCTTTTATGCATTATAATATCAATTCATTTTTGTGAAAACAGACCCAGGTCAAAAGTACTGGCTTTTATTCTAAAGCACCTTCTGACTAACTTCATGATCTAAGCGTTACCACAGTTACCAATTTAACTGTGAAATATAAAGTGCACTTTTATTTAAACTAACACATCACTTAAGTGTTGTGAACAAGAAACTCTGAACAACTGCAAATGCTGATTTTTATACAACTGATAAATTCCCGATCTATTGCCATTATTAAGATTCCCACATATTCAGATGAATACTGCAGAATACACATATACTGTACAGAGCTGTGAAATGAAACCAACAATGAATAGAGAGAATGTAGAAGAAAATTAGTCTGTCATTGAGAGAAGGGGAAAGGTGTGATCCCAGCTGCAGGATAATGTTAGTGTCTGTATAACAATGCAGAATAAATATGATATGCATCATCTATCAGAGTACAGTGCCAGTCTCCAGTATAGGGCAGTTTATAACTAGAACCAGTCAAAGTTGAGCAGCAAACAGTAACTGAGGATAATGTGAGTATTTCTGGAAGCTGTTTTCATGCATTTGCCCAAGGCACAGTGCAGAAGAATGCTCACCTGAATGACAGCACTGAACCAGCATGTGTTCCCGACATTTTTCAGGCCAACCGGACAGTTCTCCTGCCTCTTCCTGTCGTGGGGGTTTGGGGAGTCACTCCAAACCTCAGCATGAGTTCTCTTCAAGCTGGCCTTGTTTTCTGCTATGCTGGCCTCTAGAACTCTGCAGATTAAATCATTGGAATCAGGTACACAAAAATTTCGTTAGTCTGATAAATGACTTGACCTGTAGGTAAACTAGCAATATTGGTTGAGAGATTTCTAGATTTTATACTTCCAACAGCTATCTTTGTTTCTACAAACTCAAATCGGAATCTGACATGCTTTAGTACCAGTGACATTTTCATATACAGCACAGCGCAGTGCATCCCGAGTTTGAAAAGCCTTGATCTGTGGTCTCGCCTGTATCTTAACAACACACATAAAACACCTACAATACTAGTGCTTGGCAAGGTGTCATTACATTGCAGTGCTCCAAGCTTCCTCACCTGCTGATGGCCTGCTCCTCATCTGTGATTCCGGTCTCCCTGAAGGCCCTGTTGGACTCCTCCAGGCTAAGAGCGATTGCTCTCTGAAGGTCATCTTTGTCATCTCCAGTCAGATCAATTACATCTGAAACACCAAGCTCAATTTAAGTAAAAAAGGAAATTAAGACCTTTGAAAATCTACAAAGCAATATGCCAACAGAGGATTTCACCTAGAAAACGATATTGTGCTGCATTTATCAACATTAAGTACGTTGCAAAACAATAGTTTCACTTTATTACCCCATCAAAGATTTCTACACACCACTATGCAATTAATTATTAAATTCATACCGGGAGCCATCTTTAAGCATAACATATTGCTCTAACATAACTGAAGCAGTAAATCGTACCTTACTAATAATACACACCTTCTGCATAAATAGGCTTGAAGGGGGAGTTTTATACTAAAACCTACAATTAACTAATTATTGCACTGTTCTATTATAAACAGCTCATTAATCCCTTGGGGACTGGGGGACTAATTCAGCCTAGGCATCAGTCAGATCATACAAAGCCTGGCATTACACAACCCAGGACAAATCTGAAATACCTACTTGTGTCAGCCTGGCTGCCCACACTGATGTATCTGTCATTTCCAATCTGCGCAGTCTGGTAGTATGTGGCTTCATCCTGCTGGGGAACCTTTGTGCTCTTTTCTGTCAAAAAGGCAACCGCCTCTGCAAGGTCCCCATTACTAACCTTTAAGAGACACACAAAACATTAGCTTCCAGTCACCCGGACTCACCAGCATCTGAGAGCGTCAGTTAGCTAGATCCAGGTCAATCTACGCCTGGTTGTTTCTTGCAAGGGGTACACATTTGCTGGTGTTCAATTCAGTATTACAGTCATGCTTAAAATGTGTGAACCCTTCAAGGTGGTCATTTTAGATATTATATGAACCTAAACTTTTAATGAATATATAGAATGAATATCCTAAAGACTTCCCACATATAAAAAGGGATTTGAACTCATAGATTATTAGACTGTGATATTTAACAAAACACCAGATATTCTTGTGTGCAAAAGAAAATGTTTTAGTCAATAATTTGTGTATCTCCTTTGGCAGGAATTACTTCACACAGTCGCCTCCTATAACCAATTATCAGTCTCTGACATCTTGCTGGAGGGATTTTTTCCCACTTACTGTTACAAACCTCCGCCAGCTCTGTAAGGTTTGAAGGATGTCTTGTTTGAAAAGCCCTCTTCAGGTCCTGCCACAGCATTTCAATAGGATTCGGGTCAGGGCTTTGGCTTGGCCATTCCAGGACACGGAAACTCTTCTTCCAAAGCTTTAGTGGACTTACTTGAATGCTTAGAATCGTTGTCTTGGAAACATCCACTTTGTACCCAGCTTGAGTTTTTGAACTGAAGGCCTGACATTCTTCTAAAAACTTCCTTGATATTTCTCAGAATTCATTATTCCCTCAATGATGTCAAGTTGCCCAGAGCCACAGTAAGAAAAACTGCCCCATAAAAGGACACTCCCACCACCATGCTTGACAGTAGGAATAAGGTTTTGCTGGTGGTAGGCTGTGTTGGCTCTTCGCCAAACTTGGGCCTTCTTGTTGTGCCCAAATAGTTCAATTTTGGACTCACCTGTCCAGAGAACAGATTTCCAGGACTCTTCAGGCTTGTCCAGGTGGTCTCTGGCAAACTTCATATGGGCAGCTTTATTCTTTTTTGACAGAAGAGGCTTCTTCCTGGAGACCCTTCCATACATGCCATTTCTGTTCAGAGTTCTTCTTGTTGATCTATGCACTATTACTCCAGAGGCAGCTAGGGAGGTTTGTAGTTCTCTGGATGTTATTTTAGGATTACTTTTTACCTCTTTTATTATTCTCCTTGTGGCCATTGGTGAAATCTTAGTAGGAGGTCCACTTCTTGGCAGGGTTGTCATGGTTTTAAATGCCCTCCACTATTTGCCTTTCAGTGGATTTATGGAGTCCGAATCTTTTTGAAATGGCTTGTCCAGATTGATGAGCATCTACTACTTTTTTCCTCAGTCTGCTGATGTTTCCTTAGTTTGAGGCATGATACTGGACTCGTAGTAAGAGTAACTGACCTGCTTTTTTTTAATTTATTTGTTTGCTCCTCCCTAACATTTCAGATCTTCAATTTAATTGGTTACCTTGGTTAATTGGTTAACACTCTGTCATTGACCCACCTGATCCTGGTTTACCTTGATGTAAGTCATAGAACTTATTTTTGCACCTGCACAATTTCTGTATACTGTGTGTATACTGTATTATTTTGCTGCATGGACATTTTCTTTCAAAACACTCAAATTGTTGAATAATTATATTTTATTTCAATTAGGAAGTGACAAATTCTGATTAAATATGCGTTTTGTGGTTAAAAAACAAAAAATCTCAAATTATGCAATGGGTTCACAAACTTTCAAGCATGACTTTATGTGTGTTTCGGTAATCTCCTCATGGGGCCACAGACCGAGATAACTGTATCCTTTCAGAAAGGCTTAGTCTCCTCCTCCTTCAATATGTTAAACTGGCACTGAAGAATAAAGAGACAGGCCTATGTAACTTAAAGGGCGGAGTGGTGGCTCTGTGGCTAAGGATATGCGCCTGTGACTGGAAGGTTGCCGGTTCAAATCCCGCGGCCGGCAGAGGAATCCTACTCCGTTGGGCCCATGAGCAAGGCCCTTAACCCTAACTGCTCCAGGGGCACCGTACAATGGCAGACCCTGCGCTCTGACCCCAAGCTTCTCCCTGTCTGTGTGTCTGTGTCTCCATGGAGAAAAGCTGAGGTATGCGAAAAGATGAATTCCTAATGCAAGAAATTGTATAGGGCTAATAAAGAAACATTAACATTATGAAAATTAATATCCTCTCTGATGCAGAAGCAGTTAAACTGTGTCAGCACAGTTGATATTTACTTGCTAGCAAGTTGACTCACTGAAATAACGGTGTTGGAAAAGATGATTGTTTGTGGTCGCTGGATGCAAACTCTCCAGCCCTACCTGCAGAGCTTGCTGTAAAAGCTGGACATCTGTGGTTCCGGTGACCTCTCGGAGCTGGTTCAGAAGTGTCTGCTGGTGCTGTGAGGGGACAGCAAAGAGAAAGCATGACACGCCAAAGCCCCACCTTTCACTTTTACTTCACAACCTGGCAACACAGGGTTGACATTCTCATTGGTGCTGTCCGTGCCACTGCTTCTAATGGTAGTCAGATTCATGGGGCACTCCAGCAGATCAGAGCTCACTCTTGGGAGCATCAAACTGCTGCAGACCACAAAGAGGATTAAGTCCATTTTTTTTCCTGATTCACAGACAGAAGACCTACTGCAATATCACGTACACTTGTGGGAAGAGGAATTAATGTCACAACTTGAAACAAATGCTTCAATCATATTCCATATTCCACATATTCCAGTTACTGATCGGTTTTGGTTAGCACTAACAAAAGGGCCAAATAAAAACAAAGAGCATGCTATACATGCTAGTAACTCAATAAATCCTAATGTTCTGAGAGCCATTTGCTTAGAAAGCCAAGATTTATCACAAGAATACTTTCAGCTTAAATAGTGTGTTGTATTAAGTCTAGATTACTAATTAATTGCTTTTTTATGAAGGAAATAAATTAAAGTAGGACTGAGATACTTTGACACTGATTTCCTCCCTATGGTCTCTGAAACTCTCAATAATAATATGCTAATTTGAAAATAAGCAAAGAGTGTGCAAGACAGGCAAATAGATAGAGCACAGATAGAACATAAAAAATATCTTTTACATCCACCCATTTTCTAATCACTTTGTTTACTACAGGGTCGGAGAGGATCCAGAGCCCATCCCAGCAAGCATGGATGCAAGGCAGGACACACCCCGGACAATATCTTTAGTGCAACGTAAAGACTGTACCAGCCAAGCACAAGCTGAGAATAAGCCCTCTTACTAGTCACATGATTTGAGGGATGCTGTGGTGCTGACTCACAAGACTGTAACCAACACTCAACATGTAACACTGCTCTTACAACTGCCCATCCAAAATAGCATTTCTAGACAAGAGTGCCAGCGGACACCAGAACTAAACTTCTGCTGCTCAGAGAAGCCTCAGCAAAAGCAGAACATGTAAGGAGCTGCATCTCATTCTATAAATCTAGTGAGCTATGCTGGTTTAAGAGCACTAAATTCTCATATCAATACTTCTGAATTGGAAACAAAAATTATGGAAACGTAATGTGCTCCACGGTATATTAAGCAACCAAAACAGTGGCTAATGTCACAGAAAAACAATGTTACGGGAATGTTACTGTTAAAACAGCTCAGTGGTCATTCTTTGCTGCATAACTAGAAAACTTTGAACACCTTAAAAATAAATGCATGTCACCGAGATGTACTGTGCATAGTATATGTGAAGATATTCAGGAAAACACAAAACCTGTTAAAAGCATTAATGAGTACTTCTTACAACAACTGCCAAAAAAAACTGACTGAATCAATGTGGTCAGAGTAATGGCCTAAAATGACCAAACTAATGAGCTATTGCAGCGACTATAGCATCCTCCATTCAGACTGTTTCGACTGTGCATGGTTGAAGTCTCAACAACTATTGTATTGGAGAAAAATAAATACAACATTAACAGAATAAACTACTGAAATTTGTTTTAAAAGTCTTTTACTATTGTTAAGTCTTGGTCTTTAGTGGCAGTTGTCAAAAATTGTGCAGAAATGGTCAGTTCGTATTACTCTTGGTCTTCATCTGCTTCAGTACGAAACATAGCAGCACTGCAGCCTCGTAGGATATAGTCCTACCTTGCGCCCTACAGTTCTGGGGTATAGACTGAATTAACATGATCCTTACCAAGAATATGCATTCTTCTGATAAGGTTAAAATGACAGCATATTAACACTGAATCAACAGTGAAACACAAACCAGAGGACACATGTGGAAGCTACATGAAGGTGCATCTGAACCCAGGAAAAGCAGGCAATTTTCTGAGACCATGGGACAGCCTCCCCAGCCATGCTGTTGAAGCAGATACCCTGGCTTCTTTAAAAAACATCTGGATCAGCTTGGATCAATTAGTTCCAAACCACCAAAGAGGCTAGATGGGCCATTGTTTGTAACCTCTCTAAATAGTTAATGACTTTAATGATTCGTAAAGTCAATGAGTCAATGTTATTTCCACATTCGACCTAGATATAGTACCAGTGGAGCCAACTCTGTACACATCACAGTCTTAAAGTGAACTTGGCTTGACCATGTCAGAGGAGCTCATTTTTGTTTAGCTTACCTTTTTATTTTTTACAAGGTGAAGAAGGTGAAGAACAATTATCCATGCAGCAGAAAATGTAAACCCATATCAGTGTCATTTCTCCATAGTCTGTATATACAACTATTCATTCAACTTAAAGCAAGATGTCTTCTACCATACCACATACTTTAAAGTGAGCTACGCTTGATTTGAATCAACTAAGGACTGAAATTCAGTTGTTTCTGCTTGTGGTAATACTTTTGGTTTCTGATTCTGCAGTGTCTTGGTTCTGTGCACTACCACCTGCATGCGAAAAAAGTATCCTATATCAATTTGCATACTCACAAAAGTTAAATGAACTACAGAACAGACTTTCTGAGATTTATGTTAAAGTGTAGCCAAAAAGACTTCTCAGACACACAATATATATGGATCTTCTCGCAGGAGGCTGCTGGTTAAAGAATAATCCCTGTACATGGTTATAGCTTTCTTTTATGTTTTCTTTCCACTTCTGTAGTTAAATAGCCCACTGTATAGATTTAAATTTAAAAACCTTTAAAAAAAGGCTTAATTAAACCGTGATTTTATTAATAAAGGGCTTAAGCAACTGACCCAAATCAAGAATCCAGCTAGAATAGAAAACCACAAGATTCTAGGTTTCCAATGAACACAGAAATCCTATACCACTCCCTCTCGTCTTGTCCCTGTGGCTTGTGTCTGTAATACGTAGGAAACATTAAACAGTACTTAGCCCACAGTGCCTCTTGCTCCAGAACATAATTATCAATTCTGGGAGCCCATTTGGCTATTTTGCTTTGCCCCTTGCTTGTTGTTCTACTGAAGCAAATACAATAATATTTTCACTTTAATACTATACATTTAACACAACACCAATCCCCTTCAGGAATATATTAAGCTAACATAGACAGATATTAGTAATAAATCTAACAAATGCACCAAACGCTGTGCATTAACTATATAGAAATGGAAACCAGGAGTAAAGGAATCTGCACACGCTTGCTCGGGTACTACAGTTCAGAAATCACAGCAGGGCAGTGAAGGCTGGAAGAGTTATGTAACTAATTGCGGGCTCAATCCCAGACAGTTGCGTTTACAAGCTTAACTTCTTGATCTCTACCGGGCTTTATTGTAAAATCTGTTTCGAATGCCGAGGAGTTACAATGAAACATCACTATTTAATAATCAAACGCCAGGCATGCTACTATTACCATCAGTAACTATACAGTACTGAGGACACGCACAAACTACAGGAGATCTCCATTACGATTGCTACACACAACTAAAAAGACGGTTTTCTGCACGTTTGTGATCAATACATCACATTTATATCCCGACTACACAAACAACAACAGTCACTTTTCAACACCTCTCTTCAGATCCGGGTTGTTAAATAGAATTATAGGAGGAGATAAGAAAACGATACTTAAACGATAGTAACTAAAAAAAAAAACCGAAAACAAGCCATCTGGCCCTGGCTCTGGCTCGTGTTAGTTATTCGTCAAATTATCGATGAAACGCAAGATCCATCCGAGCATTTTAAGATAAAGTGTAGCGATTACGACTATGCTCACTTCCTAGGTATATTTTAGGGTAACTGGGTTATTTGCTTTAGGAATGCAGCAAATTGCACGGCTTTAAAAACGATGAAGGCAAAGCTAATGAATCCTCGACGTCGAATAACCCCGCCTAGCGCCAAAGTAATATTTTCTCCAGTGTTACAGCTCGCCCAGGCAGCGTGGAAGCGCTGTCCTGGAGAAGCCGGAGACTCGACTGGCAGCGGCGCCGGAGACCGTCCACCCTGCCGGGCACTGAGCCACAGCCGCGGCGCTTCTCGGCAGCAGCTCCCCAACACCCACCCTACCTTCTGAGAGTGCTGCTGCAGGACATTCTGCTCCACGGTCATGGCCGGCACACACAACCAAACCAAACTTAACAGGAAAATGGCAAGAAATTGAAAAAAAAAAACATATAACTAAGATGTCCCCCTGTTTATCAGCGCACTAGCGGGAGCCATTGGCAAGGTAGGAGAAAAGTCAACACAAGCCCATCGACACCCAGGCTCTCTGAGATCAGCTAGTTTGGCCTTGACTGGCTGCAATGACGTATAATCAGACAGGCCCACAAACATGGCGTCAGCGACCCCGTGGTGCGTGTGTCAGTTTTTGAAATGTAATGTACAGAAGTGAGAATTTAGCTAAACCTCCGTACCCGGGAAGCGTGATGAATGGAGTAACCTCTATTTAAGTGATTGCATGATCCGTGCAATTAGGATTCATTTAATATCTAAACATATGTTGGGGTCTGTAAAAATAATGCCTTAGCCAAGAGTTTGTGTGGTTAACAGTGGGGCAAACATTGTAAGAGTAAAAAAGACAAAAACACCTCTACAGCAGACGAAGCAATCTTCAGTTTTATGGACGAGTAGAAAATGAATGTTTTTTTTTAATGATTACCAAACTGCTATGCCAAATAAAATATACTCTTGTGAAGTTGAATACCTTCTCAGATTCCTCACCACGAAGAAAGAAACAGAACACTTTTTGAACCTGTTTAATGTAGGTTGTTTCTCAGAGTTCGGTTTTTCTTCGTAACAACATTCAGCCACATTTCCCTTCCACTCCTTCCAAACAGAAAAGAAAGGCTGAGTTGCTATCATGGATTTTATTAAAACTGCAGCTGGACAGTGCAGCCCGTGAGCAGGTTGTATTAGGCTCCAGTTTTGCCTCTTCAGTCTAAAGCAAACAGTTCTGTTAATACTTTGGTGTAAAGATCACTGTTGGGAAGGAAAAGGCACTATATCAAGGAAAAAACACGCCTCAGAAATCTTCAGAAAGAGTACCAAAGCTGAAATTGTCAAAGAGATAAGTATGGGAGCTGTGACTAGGGTAACTGGACAGAGCACTGCCCCTCCTGCCTCCCAGGGCTTTCTGCAGACCTCCTGCTAGTTCACTGCTGCTTCACAGGCCACTCTGGCCCTGGATTTGGAACACTGCAGCATGGACGCGCCCAGCCGGTCAGCAAGCAGGAAAGGGTTGAGGTGGGAATACTGAAAAAAAAAAGAAGAGACTTTAAAAGTCTTTAAGACTTTAAGAGTGGAGGCATGGTGGCTTTAAGAAAATAAAAACAGGGGACCTCAAAGATTTCAATGATTCACTTAAGCAATAGATTATTAAAATAATTCTTATCTGGGATCATGGGTTCCAGAAACAACTAATATTGTGAACAAAACATTTAAAAAACACAGTACATCTTAATTTCCCAGTAAACTAGGAGCTTCATCTAATTCTGTATTAAAGAATCAACATCAAATGTAGTTTAAGTATAAAAGTGGAACATAAAAGCACACAAATGTATTACAGGTTTAGTATAAATTATCTTAAAAATACTGGGCCACCTGTCATACTTCAGAGTCCTGGAGACAGACCCACATTCATTTCTCATTTAGATGAGAGCAGTTCAAAACTGGTTTACAGTTGAATTTTGGATGTGGTTTGACTGCCTTTTACATTCCAACTGTGAAAAACAAATAGTAGGTGGTCATTCATATCACTCAAACCACACACTAAAAAGATTTCTACATTACATGAGTGTTCAGCAGGGGATATGCAAGTTGTGTGGGTTGCCTCATGTAGCACAGTGGCAGTGGGCTGCAAGATGTGCCGAATCGGTTGCTAAAAAGTGTGGTGTGACCTTGTGATTGAAGGTGCTTGTGTAGGCTTGAGCCTGAACAGTAGTTTCTGTGAGGTGGAAATTAGGCTACAAGCTGTAGCACAGCAATTACCAGGAGATTTGGCTGAAGAATTAAAAAATAATAAAATATGAATATACTGTAGGCACAATGGTCAAGAGACTTTTCAGGATTTCAGACATGCATACTATGTTTGTGTAACACAGGGGGATTTGACAGAGACTACTAAATTCAAACAGAAGAATCTCTAATGACATAAAATGCACCTATCACAATGAGCCAATGTTTCACATGAAACACTGGCATTAGGCTGCATTTCCCCAGGCTCTGCAAGGAAATGTCCTCACCGGAGGTGAAATCTCCTGGACGGTCAGAGGAGCATCAGCGTTCAGAATGGAAAAGTCAGATGAAAAGCGGGAGTACTGGAGAACAGAAGCCGTCTCGGCATCCACCTCAACAGCTACACCTTTCTGGAGACAAAATGCTCTCACTACGGTATCAAACAGAACATAGCTCTGCTATAGAGCTGAACTAACCCTGCATGGAAACAAATACGAGCAAATGTTAATTTCATAAGATCAGCTATCCAGTTTCAGTGGTATCATATCAGCAACAAGGCAGTCAGACCAGTCACAGCTATAGGCAGGACAGCTCACTTCTTTCAGTAGTTACTGACAAGGAACTCTGCACTAAAACTCGCTACCTCAAATCTCACTGAACAGATTTTAAGAATGAAAAAATAATTTCCAAATACCACAGAAAATTTTATTCTAGGTTATCACTGTGCATCACCAAATCAGTGAAACATGCTGCACCATGCTTTACACTTGCCTTAATGGATTATTTACCAGTTTACTGGAACAGTAAATCATGGCAAATTGGTTAAAACAAGAGGAGGCCCATCTAATCCATTTTGAAGTTAGTAGTTACTTGATCCCAGGATCTTATCCAATTGTTTCTTGAAAGAAGCCAGGGTTATCAGTTTTAACAACAAGGCTGGGTAGCTTGTTCCATAGTTGCACAACCCAACAATGTCAAAGAGGAGTGGACACTGCTTATTGTTTTCTTTTCATTACAATCTTAATGGAGGGATACACATTGTTTCCCATTCTAATCTGATCAGATGTTTAACTCAGAAACGTGTCTGCACTCAAGGCAGAATTTCTGGAGAACATGCATACCTTAAAGGTGTGAGAGGCATCAAACACCAGCTGGTCAGGATGGTCAGACACGGTCCCTTGGTATGTCATGATGGCATTTCCATTAGTTCTGTTTTTTGGCAATTTAAAGACACGGTATGTCCCAGATGCATATGTAATATCACCTAAGCAATAAAAAAAGCATTTAATACTGTAAAAGTAAGTAAATTAGCACTCAAATCAATTATGTAATTTCTGGCATTAGTGTAACAGAGAGCCAAAATTTGTCACTTCCATGGAATAAAGTGTAAATTTTCAGCAGAAATAATTTGTTCTATTTAAAAATGGAAAAACAGAACCCCCCATCTGGATGGTTAAACAGGAACATATGGACCAAACCTCTGCCTGTTGCTTTTTCTTTGCCTTTTCCAGCTCATAGTTTCTAGTGGCTGAGTGTGGCACAGCCCATGAAGGAAAGCTCCAGGAAAACCACTAACAAACACACTGTAGAATATTCAAAACTGGGTCTTTTAAATGCCCCACTGGTTACATAACAGCACCTTTTGAGGAAGACTAATTTCATAACACCAATGTCGTGCAATGAGCCTGTTCAAGTTCATTGTCATTATACTCATATACAGGTATATGGTTTAATTAAATGCTATTTAGCTAGCTCTCAGACAATAAGTAATACAAAAAACAACAATACAATTGTATAAGAAAAGAAAGACCGAGACAACAGGCAGTGTGCAAAATCATAATGAGATATTATAATATCAACATAATGAAATAAAGGATAGAAAATTATGGGGAGTGAGCTACTTGAAGTGAGGTAGGGGTAGATTTCAAGGTGTTTGAACCTACAGTGCCTTCTCTCTTACCAGATCGTAGGTGAGAGAGGCTGGGAGTTTAATAGTTTGATAGTGCGGGGGTAAAAACGGTCTCCGAGTCTGGTAGTCCAGGCCTGAATGCTCTGGTACCGTTTTCCAGATGGTAGAGGCTCAGTCTGTAGCTGGGGCGTATGGGGTCTTTGATGATGCTTAGAGCTTTCCTCAAGCACCGTCTGTCATTTATGTCCTGTATGGATGGGAGGGCAACCCCAGTGATGGACTGGGCACCAGCTGTAAGGCTTTGCGGTCAGCAATACTGCAGTTGCCATACCACACTGTGATACAACCTGTCAGTGTGCTTTCTGTAGTGCACCTGTAAAAGTTAGTGAGGATCTGGGGACATATCTTAACCTTCTTCAACTGTCTTTGGAAGTACAGGTGCTGTTGCGTTTTCTCGATCAGACAGGTGGCATTGAGAGACCATGTGAGGTCCTCAGTGATATGGACGCCAAGGAATTTGAAGTTACTGACACTTTCCACTTCAGTCCCATTGATGTGGATAGGGGCATGTCCGTTTTGCAGTTTCTGAAATCAATGATCAGCTCCTTGGTTTTGCCGACGTTGAGGGTGAGGTTGTTGTCTTCACACCATGTTGTAAGGACCTCCTCCTGGAAGGCCCTCTCATCATTGTCTGTGATCAGACCTCCAACTGTGGTGTCATCGGCAAACTTGATGATGGAGTTGGTGTTGTGTTTGGCCTTACAGTCGTGGGTGTAGAGCAATGGAGTAGAGCAATGGACTAAGCACACAACCCTGGGGGATCCCAGTGTTCAGAGTAGTGTGCCAGAGGTGTGGTTTCCAAGCCTGACAGCCTGAGGTCTGCCTGCCAGAAAGTCCCAAATCCAGTTGTAGAGGGTGATGTCGGGACCAAGTCGGGATCAGGTCCTTCAGCCTTGCGCGTGTTCCAATTCCTACTTACCCGTTTTTTCCAAGAGTTCACGGTTACGTATGACAATGTGGCTGGCAGCAACAAGGTAGGGTCTGCTGAAGCCTATATCCTTCACCAGTGATATCAGGTCCATCCAGTACAGGGAGCCACCCAGGCCTTCCCCTGCGACAAATCAAACACACCAGTGATTATCCGCCCCCGACCACTGATTTACTGAGAAATGCTGACAGCAACTACAGCCGAGAAACTCCTCATCCCGCTTCATTTATGGATCATTTCTCATATCGGAAATTCAAAACAAATTGACTGGAGATGTTTCTGCAGCAAGAATTCCAATTCTCCATAAGGTGTTTAAAATTTGATTCACATTTTTATTTTACAGAGCACCTTCTCAAGGACAGCCTCAGTAAACTGCTAAGTCAGATACAGGAGTGAAAGTACTATGAATTTCAGGCATCTACAAGAAGCCTACAAACTTAATGTAAAAAATTCCCCACCAGCCCTTGTGTGTTAATTTGGATGTTAAAAAAAAAAACATCAGAAAGCTACAGATATGCATCTTTACATGTATACATACTGTATATAAATATATCAGAAGTTGTGTTTAGAGGATCGAAGGAATAGGAGTCTGAAGGGTTTATAGATTGTCGTCTCCTTGAGAAAAACCTGGGTGATAGTTATTGAAATAAATGTACCAGCTGATAGAGGGAAAGTGCATTTTTAAAAATTCAATCTTTGAATTATTAGTCATTAATTTAAATGACTAATAACTAAATGATTTCCAGTAATAGATATGAACAGATGAATTATTCAGTACCTGTGAATTAAAATAGACTGATTTGTAATCATTCAAATGGTACGTTTACCCCAAAGAACTTCATCTTGCTTTACATTTTCAGGAACAGTCTTGCTAGCATACATGTCACTGAAGTACAGTTCGCCCCCTTCCTGCAACAGAAGGAATTATTTTTTAGCCATTATATAGTGCATGAGAGCAATACGACTTCATAAGTAACTTCTACTCTGACTAAGTATGGTAAGAGCTCTGATCTCATGTTATGTTTGATGGGCACTAATGCAGTCATACAGTGCTGGATGGGAAGGGCATTATGGGCTTTCCAGGAGCAGCAGTGAGGAGCTCCAACATCCCATGTACACAGATGTGTGCACCTTCATGCGGCAATACCAGCTGAACCCATTACTGCTTCCTGCTAATCACAGTCCTTACACCTTACAATAGGAGTTCAACATTCATTCAACAAAGGGAATGTACAGGAAGACAAAGAATACTGTCCGCCTGGCCTGCGAACTAATGAGGGAAAAATAAGTGCTCCTGTCTCATAAGGTCCAGCTTTACTCTGGGCTTTTTGCTTTCTTTACAAAAGGTCCATAGAAAATCAGACCCCATAAGAAACAAAGAAAGACCTGAAGGTTGGTTTCATGTGATGCAGTCACCTCCCAGCTCTGAAATGTCACAGCTCCTACATGTGCTTGGATTCACCAGTCGAATCCTGCTCACAGCAGCACTGGGATCCAGGGTTCAGAGGGAGCAGGTACTGCCCGTTCACAGGATCGGACAGCCCCCCCACCAAGAGGACTAGCGCGCCCACTAGTAGGTGAGGAGTGCTCCCTTCAATCGCGGGGTAGGTCCTGTCACAGACAGGCATGGGCGTGTAATTTCTGGGCTGTAGGGCTCAACTTGCACTCTGAACACATGTCCCTAATTGCTGAGCTCTTTCAAGATACTTAAAATAAATCGCCAAGTTTCACAACGACTGTCGATTTTAAATCTAAGGTTTACATGAATTCCACTGGACAGAAAGGGCCTACCTTGAGAACTCTGTAAGCTTCTTTCAGGACTGCAGCCTTGTCTGGACACAAACATATTACACAGCCTGAACTGGAAAATAAAGGCAAGATAATTATCCTTTGGTTAGCTTTTAATGAAAGTGCAGGTTTAATTAGAATACGGAAGTCACCTAAAGAAAGTAAGTTACATTTCCACAGATTGCTCTTGTAGTGTGCTGATCTATTTTTTTAATTTATTGTTCTACTAAATTAGATACTTTCACTTGATATCCTTCAACAAAGCTTCAGAGATTAAGGCACATTTTGATCCTGCCTTTGTACTCATTGGCTGATGTAAAGATATAATACATAACACATAAGCATTGTAAGAATGTCATCAAGGTGATATTTCCATATTCAAGGTTAAATTTAAAACCATAACTTTGCCAAATTAAATCATTCTTTACTTACACAAGGACATCAAAATAATCATCCTGGATACCAGCTTGATACAGTTTCTCCACATATCCCTGAACAAACACAGTGTTGGGCTTCTCAAAACCAAACTTTTCTTGATGGTACTGTATGTATTTACGTGATATCAGGATCTAATAATAAAACATATGAAATCTGGTAAAAAGAAAATCACATTTTTCACAAGAAAAAGACAGACTTTGCATGTCTATGTAAAAATTATAACACTACTGTAGAATATTTGAATCCATTAACAAATGTGCTTTATTAGTAGTTAATTATACACTGTTGGATAACTCCATAGAAAGATGCACTCTATGATTGTGCTTTATAATGCTTTATGCTTTATGCTTTATAATAGCGTATTCATTTGTGGTGCCACCCAAACCAATACTTAACTTCTGGACAAGCATACAACTCACCTACAACACCAAATAACCAGATATAACTTCTGAAGCATAAAAATACTTGATAGAGGTTGCAAATGAGGGGTAGGCATTTGGCCCATTAAGTTCATTTGGTTGTTCAGGAGTTAACTTAATCCAAATTTCATCTGGCGATTTCTTAAAGTAACTTGGAGTGTGTTCCTCATCCACTCTTGGAGTATTTTTTGTTCCGAGTGAATTCCCTTGTGCTTTTTAAGGGTACAGAAGAAGTCAATGTCTACAGGCCAGACTAGAATGGCGAGTACAAGACGAACACAACAGTCTAACCATGGTGTGATTACTTGGTTACAGTGAAAAAGTAATAGTAGTGTGGTAGTGTGGGAAACTACACGTTAACACATGAACCACTCTGACACTAGATGTAACTACACTCCAGGTTTGTTTTTCCTGTCTTTTTTGATGGATTCAACCACAAAGAAAGAGGCTTTACAAAAGATAAAATAAGTGATGACAGCCAGACTATTTACAAGCGTCTTTAAAAAGCTATTTTGAGAGCTCTCTTGCCACTGCTTACCACCATGTCTACCTCAGGCAATCTGTTGCGCACCCTCCCCCAGCTCAGCCCAGCAGGACGAACCACAGGCAGCCATGAGCCATGAGACAAGGCCCCAGCAGGTGGGAGAGCAGGATGAACAGACTGCAGGGATTACCTCTCCCTGCAGAAGATCAACATTTCAAACATCTCTCTTCTTTTCCACACGGTTTCTGTTCAGTGAGCTGCTGACGGCCAGCACTGATAAAGCTTTTTCTACAGCAGGGAGCAGGTTACCAACACCTACTCTTGTAAAAATGTGTCAACAATTAAAATTCCCCTATTATCTAGTAAATTACTTTTTTTTCAGTCTTTTGTTGTTTAACTACTAAGAAATGCTTTGCCACTCAAGTGTTCTTGAGTTGTGCTTCCAGCTCAGTATATACTTTCGTTAGTCACTGAACATTCAGTTTTAATACAATCTTGTGATTACCTTGCTTCTTATTTTCTTTTTTTAAACCTTTGAGGTTTAATTTTCCTAAATTTGGACTTCATTGCAATAAAAATGAATTCACTTAGTCTTTATCTTATTTCACCGTTTACAAGCTCTACTTCACAACCATATCTGCATTATGATCGCTATATATTAAGATTCCTATACTCAGTGTTAAACCCTTAGAATATTTCTAAGATTAATCCATATAAATTATAGAAGGTCTTGCTTCAGTCTCCTAGACTGCAGGTTGTTTTTCGATGTACAATCTGACACCACTACTGCTTCTGTCCTTCCCGTCACTGACTCATTCATTTTATATCTGGCCTCTTCCTCCTTCTCTAGCCAACACTGTTTTTGCCAAGGTCATACTTGCCTACAACAATGCAGAAGCCTTTAGTTGTTGCATTTTATTTATTAAGCTTTAAGAATTTAAGTATAAAAATTAAAGCTGTTTTAAGGTTGTTCCAAGTGTTGCTCTGAGCTTTCCTGATCCTACTCAAATTTGACTACTGTGAGCTCCCTGGCCTCCAGATGCCTGGCTAAAAACTCCACCTATTGTATCCTAACATTTCCTCATACAGCAACAACTACCTACTCCCCAATCATGCGACACCATGAAAAACGCTCCTTTTTCTTTACCTTACCAATGTATTTGATGTCAGTACTATTTTCAGGCTGTCACAAAATCAATAAAGCATGACAGAATATTAAGATTCCTATAGGGTTCGGTTTTTGTCCCACAAATGGTCAATTCTTAATTTAAAATTTAAATCTGAAGGAGACAAAAGGTAATGTAGTTAACTTGACTGAGAAGTGGTTTATCACTTCAAGGGCTAACATAAGCAGTGGTGTGATGCACGGATCCATTTTAGGCCCAACGGCTAAATCTAACATATCAATGCCAGCGATTCTGGACAATTAAGTAGGCTGGTTATAGTTGAAGAAAATACAAAAATATTAGGAGTGGCAAATTATACATATCAAAAGTTGACATGTACAGTATAAAGTGATCACCCCAGGGGACTACTTTAGAATTCCACATCAGGAAACTAATGATTCATTTAGTGGTGCGAACAGGAACAGGTCTTTACGCTAAGTCTTGTGGGTATCTGTCACCGATTGCCAAGCAGAAAGCCCGAGACCAAAACCTCAGCGGCTTCTTCAAGAAACAGACAGATCACTCCATGACCAGATAAGATGGACCAAATGGCTTCCCCTCATTGGTCACTTGTCTTATGTTCTTAGGAACCAGCGCCGTGTACCAGCTCCTGCGTCATGTCGACACCTATGACAAGGCCAGCGCCTCCCACCAGCTTGCTGAGGATGTAGCAGTCTCTTCCAGACCCACTTCCCAGGTCGAGGATATTGCACCCCTCCAGCTTCTCTGGGAAGATGAGCCCACAGCCAAAATACCTGCGTGATCACAGCATAGATCAAAATTTAATTCTCTTTACGCCATGATCACACAATGAAGACATTACTGTGATGCAGTTCTCCCCCTGACAAGAACAAATGTTTCTACAGCAAGGTTCCCGATTTCAAAAAGAATAGTCACTGTCAGCATTTTCCAGTTGCCAATACAAGAAGAGGCACATGGAGGTGTGTGCAGCATTTTGAAAAATTAATCAGATTAGTATTTTAAATTGTGCCCATCTTGGATAGCTATAGCTAACCTAGTCGCCATAAAATTAAAGTCAATTAACCAAATTTAATAAGGTTCCATTGTAAACAAATATATACGCCGGTGTAGTGGCTCTGTGGCTCAGGAAGGCTGGAAGGTTGCTGGCTCGTATCCTGCGGCCGGCAGAGGAATCCTAATCCATTTGGTCTCTGAGCAAGGCCCTTAAACCCCCAACTGCTCCAGGGGCGCCGTATAAATAGCGGACCTTGTGCTCCGAGTCCAAGCTTCTCTCCCGGTCTGTGCGTCTCATGGAAAGCAAGTTGGGGTATGCGAAAAGACAAATTACTAATGCAAGAAACTGTATATGGCCAATAAAGTGATCTTATACAAATACACTATTTCCATACATACTCCAGATGGGCAATTTGTGTGGAGAGATATTCAGCTATGTGGTGAAAAAGTAATGAAATCTACTTAAAAAAAAAAGGTACAAGAATACTTTATTCAGACTTAAAAAAAAAACAGGAGCCTACACAAAGATGCAATTCTTTGTTCCCAATACTGCAGGCCAGTGGCCAAGTATACAGCATCAAAGGACACATGTAAGGAATCAAAATGGATTACTGTCACAGCGAGACCAATCTGCTGTTAAAAGTCATTTCCGTTATATCACCTGTACGACAAGGAGTGATGCAGCCCATGGGTCTCGCTCGAATGAGCATCCAGAGAGGCCAGTAAACCTACCTCTCACGAACATCAGGATGGACCAGCTTGAGGGCCTCAAGGACACTCTTGGGCACGGGACAGCTGGGCAGGGCACAGTTGGCGTTGGTCTGCAAGTCCCTGGACTTCTCCAAACGACACCCATAGTATTTCTCAGGGAAGGAGCAACAGACAAGAAAACAATCAATTAAAAAAATACAGATCCTGACAGTCTGCACACAAAGGGTAGAAACAGGACATTAAATAAATCCACAATCATTGATCGCAGACTGCTGAGAGGCTTCAATCAAACAGCCACTTTTGAACAGTGCATCACAGTCTATACACTGATACATCACTGCAACCGTGTTCAAATTTTTTTTAAAAAACAGTCTGATCTTCACCATGCTAATCAATTATAACTAAATTACATGAAGATAAAAACATAAATGTTAGAAATTTAAGTAATGATCTACAATTTTCACTCTAAATTCAAAGTATTATGTTCACTCAGTCTTTATCTTATTTTAGGATTAGATTAGAATCCACTCAGGCAGTTAAGGATTAAGTACTGCATCACCTTGGAGAACAGGAGTGACCAGTAAACAGCACAGGCCTACCTGCACGTTCTCATGTACAGGTGTTGCCATGCTGAGACGAGGTGTGGGGGTCCCAGAATCAGGAAGTTAAAAACGGAGAAGCACTTGGTGACAATCCTGCAAAAAGGAAACAGTCCAGTTTCCCCACAACATCCTGCATGGTAGACACATCATCGAAGGGTAGCTGCATCTTTCTGCCCGCTGGCGCCAATTCTTGGGGATTATTCTGGGATTGCTGGTGTTCCTGGAGTAGCAGCAAGGGCTGCATTATTTTTATTAATTTATTCTTAGAAGTCCTCTAAAATTATGTTTTCAGTTGGACTTACTTGGGATGAAATGCAAAGGTTTTCTGAATCCGACATGCCCTTACTTTCCCGTACTCTGCAGGGTTACTATATTACCTTGATAACTAGCAGCTTTTCATGTGATGTTGGAGTATAGTCCTACTCCAGATGTGGCAACAGCTACCAGGTTCCGCAGAATCATTCTTTGGGAACTTGGCTAATTAAACAAACCGTGAGTTTGGCAATATGGCTGTCTGTTACCTATCAAGACTAAAACATTTCCTATTCAGTATAGCCCATTAGAATACAATGTTGAAAACATATCAAGCGTCTGCATTTCACAAAGCTCGAAAGGCCACAATTAGCCCACACACACACACACAATACAAAATATTGTAACGCATATGGCTGACAGGTACTGTGTAAGAGCCGGCTTAACAGAGCGGTGACGTCAGTAACAATGTCAGTGAATTATTTCCCCCATTTGGGTTTTTAGAAGTTACTTGTAATGTGTAATGCATCCTAAAATGTAAATGTAAGGTTTAACATAAAAGTCACAAGTAACTAGAGATTCACAGCAAAAATACAGTTTTACCGTTTTACAGACCAGCACAATTCTGCATCACATATTGATACAGTGTATTAGATCACACCTGTATTTACCTCCTTACTATTCGGTCTTCAGACTTTGAAGGCGTTTGCACAGTATGAGTATTTACCCGTCACTACGAAAGATGAATGTCTAGGTTTATGAACTCAACCCGCCACGATCGTCAATGTTGGGTTTCAGCTCCTTGCTCAGTGCCCGTTGGCCGAATCAGCTAAGGACGTTCTTGATGTGTAAAGATAACGCTGCCCTGTAAAAACAAAACATCACAATGCACACAACAATTCATTTCCATCCCAGTACGACAAACCAGTCGCTCTTAATGGTTTGGATAACGCGTATGATCGCCGTTCAACCCCCTTTGTCTAAAAATACATCAACTAAACAAGGATTTATGACGGGTGAAAATACACGTAATTTACAACGTAAATTCTTAGCGCTTAAATCAGAAGCACGCTGCCCTTTCTTCAGTAAAAGCAAAGCACGGGACGCTGAAAAAGCAAATAAACGAGGAATGATTCCTATGGACTTGTTAGGAGCAGGAATGAAGCGACCCAGCTTTGTTGCTATATCTCGCTTCTCAGTCCAGACAAAATGCAGCTCTACAGGCAAGCTTGGGCCCCAATTAAGCACTGCCTTTCGGCCTTTTGACCGTGGGACAAAGTGTTCGAGTTCTCCAACACCTGACCTGAATTTCAACCTGAATCGCAACACAAATTTCTTTCCGGCAAACTACGCAAGTTATACTAGCATAGTAGCGTGTACCGAGAACACTTTTAAACAAACAGGCTTCTTCTCTCTGCACACTGCTAAAAATACATCCCCGTGTCAGAGTCCCCATTCCACGCGTTCTCGGTATTTTATCCAATGTTTTAGAACGAGGCTGAAGTTGGCTTCTTATTCTTGTTTACGAAGGACTATACTGAGCTAATTTATTACGCCTTGTGGATTATTCTCTACACACACCGACGTTGATTTAATTAAGACACGATTCGAAAGACAAATGATAGATTTGTTCAGTTCTTGCTTTCCTAATCCAAGTGCTTTGGACAAATTAACGGATTAGACATTTGCTTTGGTTTGTAGGGTATTTACATTAAAAGGTGTTCCTGTCTTGCTTAATTTTAGACGTTTTTCGCCAAAGGAAGAGCATTACTCACAGTGCTGCAATCCGCTTTCTGAAAGCTGTGTGAAGCATTGCAAGTTTTTTTTTTCCTTCAGAAGAGTATAAAATTAAGATAGTGGTTAATGTTTTACGAACACTGCCCATGGAAAAATGTGGGAGTGCTTCTCTCAAGTAGGATATAAATTCTCACAAAGGTAAACCAGTCCACAAAAATTAAGTATGTATTTGAAATAAAAAAGTTAATTTAGGGTCGTGATAATTACGTCGATCACGCTATCATATGAAAACATCTTTATCAGTTGAAATAGCAAAAACAGTATCAAAGTAAACATTGTTTTAAAGCTATAAACATAATTTATTATCCTCGGTGGCTGGAAGGTTGCCGGTTCGTATCCCACGGCCGGCAGAGGAATCCTCCTCCGTTGGGCCCCTGAGCAAGGCCCTTCACCCCAACTGCTCCAGGGGTGCTGTGTAAATGGCTGACTCTGCGCTCTGACCCTAAGCTTCTCTCCCTGTCTGTGTGTCTCATGGAGAGTAAGGTGGTGTATGCGAAAAGACAAATTCCTAATACAAGAAATTGTATATGGCCAATAAAGTGATCTTATCTTATCCTATATCAGCTCCTCAGCTGCTCAGACATCTGTCTCCACAGATGCACTACCCACTGTGTCCGAAACAGGGCAGATCTCGCCCACCGGGAACATTTCATTCTGCTGATGTTGAGCATTGGATTTCGAAGTAGAATTTTAAGGTACATTTACCCTTCAACTTTAGGGTTACAAAATATTTCTTTACAAAAATTACCATTACTTTCAAGTAATAGCGCAATTGCAACCCATTGTCCAGCAGTGGGCAGCGTTGTTCCACAACAACCCGTACTTGAGCGCCTGCTGCTACAGTCATGTGGAACTTGGAAGGCGCTCCTCGAGTTTCAAATATCATTTTTAAACTGTGACTTCAGATGTTCGATCAGGGAACAACGTCAGCATGCATTGGCTGCAAAGCAGCGAGTAGTTATTTCCACGCTGAACAACAGAAAAGCGAACCACAGCGACCGGCTGTCGTGCCTTGTTCAGGTGTGACGGAAGGAGCCCCAGCACACACGGGTCCAAAGGAGTTACTGAGAATACCTCGGAGCTCAAGTGCCTACATAATAGTAATGTTCCTCAGGGCATTTGGATCATGTGATGGTCTAAGGAGGGATTGTTCAGCAGCACACAAGTGCTGGGAAACCATGTATTTTTCACTTTCTGTTCATAATGAACAATTATTTCCAAAATAGCAAAAGAGCGAGTTTCTTTTTCTGTCCATTTACACACTCTCCCTCTCTGTTCTGGCTTGCACATCCTTCTATAGAAACCTTAGCATGTGCATCTCTCATTGCAGTCAATGGCCACAATACACTCAGTAACCACGGGTGAATCTGTTCTGTCCCGAGTCCTTTTGTCGGGCGCCATCTAGTGGCATCTTGACTGTAATTACAAACTCCTTCCAACCTTGGAGATCTTATGCACTTTGCTGTTTTTTTAAACCTTCCTAGTAAAATTTAGTTTTAGATGAAGAAGAACACTCATTATTTTACACAACAATAATTCCTTTTTAATACACCCCACTGAACATATACTTAAAAGTAAAACTTTTTATGTTACTGGCAGTTGGTGGAACACAAGTCCTTAAAATTAGTTTACTTCATTCTTCAACACTTTAATCAGCGTCCCTAGCGAAGAGTACAATAAGACCGTACTGTTCTGTTTAGTGATTGAGCCTAAGACCTTTACCTATTTTATATGGGTCTTCTGAAGATCCCGTCAGTAAACTATTGTGCATTTCTGCTTATCAAGCAGTTATAACTTGTTGCGCTGTTTATGCGATTTATTTTTCAAAAGTATGATAATAATAATAATAATTGCTTATTGGACACTCCACTCAAAGCACTTTACAGGTAATGGGGACTCCCCTCCACCACCACCAATGTGCAGCATCCACCTGGATGATGCAACGGCAGCCATAGTGCCCCAGAACACTCACCACACATCAGCTATTCGTGGGGAGGAGAGCAGAGTTATGAAGCCAATTCATAGATGGGGATTATTAGGAGGCCATGATTCATGAGGGCCAATGGGAAATTTGGCCAGGACACCGGGATTATACCCCCACTCTTTTCGAGAAACGCTCTGTGATTTTTAATGAATAATCTGAAGGACGGCGCCTGTTTACAGTATAGTGTCCCTGTCACTATACTGGGGCATTAGGACCCCCTGCTTTTAGTTTTTCCCTGGCCTCCCATCCAGCTACTGACCAGGCTCACACCTGCTTAGCTTCAGTGGGTTGCCAGTTGTGAGTTGCAGGGTGATATGGCTGCTGGCTAAATATTGGCAAATAGTAATATTTGTAACCCTGTCTACCAGCTGCTTGCATAATAAACCCCTCCACCTCACTGTTAGAGACATAACCTAGTTTCAGTCAGTGACTACAGACTGGCAGGGATTATCAAGTGTAATGTCTTCAATTACAACTACAATTCTCTGGGTCGCATGTCCCAGCTGCGAGCTATTTTGTGCTTCATTTATTTATACAAGAACTGAACATTTTGTTTTATGTCATGGGTAAAAACTAACACAATAATGCACAATAGTACTCTTAGCAGCAGTGACAAACATTTTTTCGCTGAATGGAGAATGCCTAACTTGGCTTTCTACAGCTCCACCTCCTGCTTTCAATTCCTCTTGTTCTGACCCAGAAAAACAACAGTTCAAAGAAATAATGAGAAAAAACCAAACTCTCATAAACATTTTAGTGAGTCATGCATTTGGGCCAAGAGAAGAGGCTACATTCTTCTTGTAAGATGAATCCTGTAAAAAAGCAAGACATAACAGGAAGCACATCTCCAGCCTTTCCATCACAGGTGCCTCCAATCCCAAATATCTTCTAGTAGCCTCCCTAGTGCACATTGCTGTAAGGTCACAAATACCTCTGTATCGTTCTGTCACTGGTCTTACTGTCACAATGTGCAAAATGTGCTTCTGACAACTGGACAGGATTCCATTTAATTAACACACTGTTTAATCATCAATTGTGTCACACTTTTTTAATTGAAAATATTAACTTAATTAAATATTTCATAATTTGCAATAAGGAATTCATGACAAAGTAGAAAAATACACACCCAGGCCTTTAACTGAAAAAAACAACTGATAATAAAAACAGCATTATAGATTTTTTCTGAAATCTGGTCTAGCTTCTGAGGAATGATAGATTCATATAGAACATGACAAACTTTTCACATCATCCTTACAGAACATTACTAAAGACAAAACCTTAGGTAATATTCAATGTGTTATTCCCGCACTCCTATCACTCAAACTGCACATTTGATGTAACCAAAACCTATTGCTTATTTTTAAATTATTTCTTAACCATTTGATATCAACTGCTAATCTAATAACTGCTTGCTGGAAATCCGGAAATGAACAAAGGTTAGGGCACCTTTTGTCAACTTTAATCATTAATTGAAAAATGAAACGTTTTAGCATTTTAGAGCAAGGGAAAAAAACCTTCAGATACAGCCAAACTAAACAGCTGTTGTGGGAACAATGAGTGAAGTAGACTAAGAGTGAAAGGTATTTGTACAGTTAAAGTGTTTTCACCCATCAACTTCAGCTTAACTGCTGTCAATAGGAGATGGCAAGACATTCTGCAATGAATACCATCATTGTGACTCCGCTCTCTGCTTACAGCTCCATGCTTGACATTGTGCAGATGAAGCCATGCCCTGGTTCTGGCCCCAGTGTCTGCCAGGGTCCTAACAAAGCTGCAGCCTGCTTGGGCTGGTTAAATATGTCAACTTTCACCTTGTTATACGCAAATAGCTTTGGGTCAAATAGTAAAGAGCTCCTTTATCCAGAATGAAATCTGAATTGTCATCAGAATTGCAGTGTTTTTATTAACTCACTGGTTAGATTCCATTAAAAACATGCAAG